TTCATCCTCAAGAGGTCTAAACATTTAATCTCTGATTGTCAAGAGTCATGATTTTTTTTTTTTTTTCAGGATCTCCATGATAGACATATTTTTTCTGCCTGATTTTAGGTGTATCCAAGCTTCTTTATGTACAGTAGGGTCAAGCTATCTTGAATAGAGAATTCATGCTGTCTACTTTTTTTTTTTTTTTCCTACCATAATACTCACATCTCCTTTATTTGGAACATCAAGATACAAGTGTTATTATCTGGAGATCTGCTACGTGGCAGAGTAAAACAGTGGTTTCTCAAATATACCTTTGATGTAGTTGCATTTCATGTATGTGAAATACTGTGAATTTGGGTACTATGACTAATATAGCTGAGGTGCTTAATTCTCACCAGACTGAAGGAGAGAGTTACACAGGAAGAAGCTGTACTGAAGCATCCTTCAGAAAAAAGGTAGTGGTTGCTAACTCAACATTGTGTGGTCTGTGAATGACTTATGCTACATTTTTCAGAATCTGTCCTTCCATCTTGCTTTTGCATTCTTCATTTGCCTCAGGGTTAGGAATGACAGAAGAACTAAGGAATGATTTTGAGCTCTTTGTCTTTAAATAAGTCAGAGAGAAGTTACAATCCACATACGTAGCACCAGCAAATGGTGTGAGTAGGAAACAGATCTTTCAAGTGTGAGGTGTATGTGTGTACCATTGAGAAAACTTGTACTGAGCTTTCCAGGTTTTGGAGTTACATGACATTATTTCCAAAGGATCATTTTATTTAGTAGCTTTTAACAAGTAAGTGTCAAAGAATCTTCCAGAACTGTAGGTTTGTATAGGAAAATGATTATGAAATATAATATTAAAAATGTTTTCTGTGGTTATGTTGTTTTATTATATTTTTTTTAGTTCAGTAAAAGTTAGCTATCCTGGCGTTAGGAATAAAGCCTGCGATATGAATCATTGTGTGTCTGTTTTGTTGGTTCTCCAAGAGACGTTGATAGGAGACTCATTAAATATGTGTTAATTCTACATTTTAGGGGATCTACGGGAAATACTTTTCTTACTACATAATTCATGTTTGTGAACTAAGGGAGAAATTGTCTTTTTCTGAAGCATCCGGGAGCGATCACAACTGCGATAACATTTTGAGTGGGATAAGATATATTTTGGGTTCTCTAAACTTGAGGTCTGACCATCTTAATACAGTCACACTTAAGAATAAAAGGTTACAATAACAAAAAGATATTTGAATATATATACTAGCAGAAAACCTTTTACATTTATAGCTTTTCCCAGTAAATAGTAAATGATAACAAATTTTGAAACTTCTCCATTTAATTATAGATTTACTATTTTTCCTGCTTCTTTTTAATTTCTTTTTCCTTCATTTAAATTTCTGGTTCATATATTGCATTTCCAAAAGACATGGTATAGCTTTCCTCAGACCATATGCATCTATCATGAACGTATTTCCAGATGCAGAAAATTGTTAACTAGTTGACCATACTTTGATGATTCATAGCTCTTTCTATGGAAAATATTTTTAATTGCTGTAATTTTGGCACTGATCTAATTAGCAGAAAGTATCAATTTAACAATCTGGGACCTTTCTTCTGTGGTGGGACATGGCCTTGTTTCTGGTTGTATCAAGCTTGGGTTTTTTTTGTAGTTATTTGCATTTGACACTTACCAACAGTGCTGCAACGTGTCCTGTGTTTCAGCGCATTATACCAGAGGATCGTTACGTGTCTGGTGCTAGTCAGAAAGCACGGTTTTCAATGAAGCTGTGTCACACAATGTTATCTCGTGATAAGGAGGTCGTTAAAACAAAGAACCACAATATTAATGTGCTGTATCTGAACTTACTGTTCATTCTTTGTTTGCATTTCTTTCCATGGAATTTATATTCTTATTTGAAAACCTTAATGTCACTGCCATGGAGGCTTCTCCATATTACCAGTGAAGATTATGTGGGATCCTTATTTTATGATCTGTTTCTTTTGAGTATTATTACTGTTCGGAATGAAAAAATTAAAATAATGTTTCCTGTCTTTTGACTAGTTCTTGAGCATATGGAATGCATTGTAGTGCAGTTTAATATGAAAATTAATGAAGTGAGCTGAAATATACTACTGATTATATCTTTTAAAGTATTTGAACCTTTAGAACATTATATGCCTAATCAGAAAGCCTGAAGTCTTTAGTAATTCTGTTTTATAATGCCCCTCTGCTCTTGCACAATTGACATGCTTCAGTAATGGGAGCAAAAAGCTAACAGAGCCAGAATTAGAGACAAAGGCTGGTAATTTTACCTCTGTCCTGACTGTCGTGACCTCACCATGAAAAAACACGAGACATGGCTTCTGAAAACTTAATACAAAAAGACTGTGAAAGGTCTACGTGTGAAAGGGAAAATCAAGGGCTAGATTTACGTTTAGGTTATCTGCCTGTAAACAAGAGAGATTTCTCAGCAGCAAGTCTATGAGTAAAGCAAAATTCCCATTGAATATTGGGGGTTTATTGGACAAGGTAGCCCTTTTTCCACAGTTTTACAGGCCAGATTTCTGTCAGCCAGTTCTTCTGGCCGTAAGAGTTCAGTCAGGTTGTGCCACTGTGTTCCCCTCAGCCCTGTTCAGAGAGCTGAATTGAGATGTTGACACAGTTTCTGTGTGCGTGACCTAGGGCTGGGTTGAGCTTCTTGTCCTCTACCCACAACGTGTACGGTTTATGCTGGATCAAACACAGTCTGGACATAATTGTCCAATGTTTCAGCTTCAGAAAGTCTTAGGAGACATGAAAACAAAGTAAACACATGTAGAGGGGCAATAACTGGCCAGAATATTTTGCGGTAGCAGAACCCTTGTTTTCCATGTAAATGTTGAGAGGAAAGAACAATGTATACTGTTCTTAATCCTGGATTAATTGGAAATATTGAATAGTAAAAGAGCCAGTAGTCCCTCTTCTGGAAATATTTTAATTTAGCCTGCGGTGTATTAGTGTACCCTTCAGTTTTGTTTTGTACAGCTTCTGAGCTGACCTCCTCTTGAACTGAGTGATTAAGTTACTTAGGGTGAAAGCTTATTCAAAGTGAACAGTGCAAATTTTACAAGGAAAACTTCAAGATCCAGAATTCACACAATTAAAACACAAACTTGAGAATAATATGAACATAATCTGTTTTCTGCAAAGCAATCTTGATACTTTTTTAAAAGTATCTTTCAAAACTGTTAACCTTTCCTAGCAAAGAGGGAGTTTTTGTACTTCCTTTGTAATAACCAACGGACTCCAAATGTTTGAAAAAAAAAACATGTGAAGAGGAGAGCCTGTAAAGGAACTCACCAAGGTGAGTTCACCCTACATCATGAAGCTGTTCTGCAGTGTGTGAATAGAAGTTGTTGGGAAGAGGAATGTTTTCAGATGAAAATGTTCTATATTTGTAATATTCTAGCTTAGTGTTAGAGAATTCCTTCCATTTAATGAATGAATCTCCTAAATATAGAAAATTTTGCAGATCATCTTACCCAGAATTTATAGGCTTCTTCCCAATAGTGCTTGTAAAGAACATTTCTGGTTCAGCATTCAATACTGACTCTTGTGTATTTCCCTTTCGCTTGTCCACACAGAGAGGTCACTTCATTTCAATTATATTGTTATAGTTGAAACTTGTCTGAAGTTACATTGATTTTGTTGGTTCTTTTACTTTTTAGAGAGCAAAATAAATTATCCTTGCATAATGCTTTTTTGCAAGACTGGAATATCATGTGAGTAGTAGTCTACTCATGAGTTAATTACAAAGTTTTCGTTTCTTTTTGGTTTTATTCATACAATGGTTATAAAGGAAGAGCTTTCCAGTGTTGAACAAGCCTTAAAAACCTCTCTCCTTTTCTCTACTTCCCCCCCCCATGCTTGCTTTTATTTGGATAGGGTCATGCAGTTCTCTCCTGTGATGTTTTTATTCTACTCAGGCACATCCTTCTGTGTTGGTCTTTGGTCAGTATCTTCTTTTATATCTATTGATCATGTGAACATGGAGCTAAAACTATAATTTCCTTTCAAAGATTTTCTTGATTCATGATAACGGTGTGCTAAGAGAACAAAGCAGAAGCAATGATCTGCAGATACACTAATTAAAAGGCAAAAGAGCAATGCAATCCGTTTCTGTCTAAAAGAAGGCATCTGAATTTTCAAATAGACATATTTTAAAATCTTTCCTTTCCCCTCTCCCCTTTCCTTCCCTCCCCTCTCTCTCTGTTGAAAGATGATTTCTTGGCATATTCTGAGACTTTGTAAGGAAATGATGAATACTGTCCTCTATAGCTAAGCAATAAGGTATCCAGTAAGTCTGTAAAGTTAAATCCTAACCAATTTACTTCATTCTGCATCTCAACATGAAAGTCAAATACTTTCTATTTCTGGCCTGACAGCTTTATGTAACAAAAAAAAAAAGTTAATATCTAGACGATTAAAAAACCCAGGCACCTAAAGACAATGAAATCTAGACTATTTTCTTTTTGTTTGTTTAAGAAAATAGAAGAAAGCAGACTGAAGGGGCTCCATCCAAACCAAAATTATAGGTTTTGAACTGCTTGTAAGAAATAACCATCTGACTGCCTGGAGCCCTGGCGGTCTCAAATCCATCTTTGTGAGGGTGGGGGTGAAACAGTGGTGCTTCCAACTGTGAGGACTGGCAATTAAAAATACATTTGGAACCACTGATGGTAACAACATGGAAATGTGCTAGTTGGGGCCATATATTATGTCTGTTACCCATTTATTTCTGCTGGTGACCAAGACTCAGAAGACAGTGTGAGGATTTTCATGCAACAATAGACGAAAAACCTTCCACAGTTTTTCCTGATACTCATTGTACAGTAGTTGGCTTATGCTCTAGGTTTTTGTAAATGAAGGTGTTTTTTCCTTACTCTTAATAAAATTGTAGACTTTTGTCATTATAAAAAATGAATGCAGAACAGTTTTATCTTTATATATTGAAGTAATTCTATTTTACTTTCTATAGGGCTGGCCTTTGCGGTTCTGTCTTCAGTCCATCCAGTTTTTGGTTTATATGGCTCTTTCTTTCCTGTCATTATTTATGCCATATTTGGAATGGGACATCATGTTGCGACAGGTAAGTGTCTCTTTTCTAAAAACACTTTCAGAAATAAGGAATTGGAAGCTGAACCTTTTCTTTTTTTGTTATAAGATCAAAGGAAGGAAAATGATCTAAGACTGAACAGAAATAAGATGTTTTTGTGCTTCTTTTTACAACTAATTTTTGTGAGTCTAAGTGCTTTAAAGAGCCTCATTAAGAATATATTGGACTTACTCCTGGCATTATAATTTAATATTGCATTGACACTTCCTTTGTAATTGTAGTTTACTAAGGGCTTTTTCATTTTAACTCTACTTTAGAAATCTGCTTTAGGCTAAGATTATAACAAAGGGCTCAGCCAGCAAGATACATGCAAACAAGTGTCATGTTTTGGGCCAGGTTAGCCCAGGACACAGGAATGAAAAAGGCTCAACTGCTTCTTAAACCACAGAAAACACAGATTGGTTCTCACCTGTCTAAAACACAAACCCTGCATTTCTTAAAAAAAAATAAAAATAAAAAAAGCTTTCTACGCCTATTACTTGCTACAGTGTTAATGCTAGAAATTCTCCCAATGGCTTCAGTACAATTCCTATCCACTTGCAGAGTAATTAGGTAGGCAGTAAAAGGTGTTCCATGGCTACAAGGCCAGTAGCTATGAGTTAGTTGTTTACCTTTGGCAGGGCCAACAGCAGCTGCAAGAGTTGAATGACTTTGATCTCCTGATAGGTTGGTGAATGCTCTGACTCCAAAGAACCCAAGTTACAGGCTAAGGTTGTAAATAATACTCATGAGATCGAACCACAAACTCTTTATTGTGCAGAACTGGGCATTTGGTGGCCTCTGAAGTTTGCAGGAAGGATGAAACAGGCCCAGTATTAAAGCACAATAGGGCTAGATGAAGGGAAGCAGCATCTGTGGTCATGAGAAGATTTAAGCAGGGAGGGGGTATGTTTTCCTCATGGAGGAGAAAAATTCCTGAAAGGAGGAAAGATGGTTGTGGGTACTCACACAAAAAATGAAATCTGCAGAATCTGATTGCTCAAGTGTATACGCTGCCAAATGTTTTAGTAAGAAGTTAATCACTCTTTTGAGCACCTTTTTTGTTCAAAAACATTCAATTAAATTACTAAAAATTGCTGAACAGCTATAACTTGTCTTATAGCAAAAGGACAGCTGAAAGACGGTTTTTCATAAAGGCACAGAAAGTATTGGAGCCTTTTGACGCCTGAGAATGACCTGTGGATGCTGTTACTGGCTTGATGCTGTAATGACCAATGGGGTGTACTCAGCTCATATAAGAAAGAGAAGCATTAAAAAAAAAGTGAAAATTCATAAATTGGAAAATAATTTTGACACTTGAGTAGAGATAGATTAATATACTTTTTTTGAACTTTTTTTGTTAAATGTATTAAATATGAACCTACATTAAAAATGACTAATTTGTCAGTGTATTGTCAGCAGTTTGTTGGTGTAAGATTATTAGGAAGACAAGAATCCATCATATGATCATATGTAGGAAAGTAAATAAGTATTTGGCTGACACAAATTCTAGTAATGAAAACAGATGATAAAATGGGTAAGTACAAGCAGCTGGGTCTGATGTTTTGTCTTTGGGAGGGAATATTCAGAGAATGATTTGCTGAACGTCCCACAACTCCTTGGCCACAAAGTCCTTGCACAGTCCCTGGTGTGGAAACTTGTCCCTTTCACAGGTGTCTGTTCCAGAATTTAATCTTAAGAAAAAAAGGAAACAAACCAGTTTTCTTGCTACTGTGAAGATTTTTTTAAAGAAATGTATGTGACATATGCTGTTGATCCTTTCAGTAGAAATCGCTCATGCACTCATCCCACCAGCCTCAGTTAAGGAGTTATGGTGTGGGGGCTGAACTGGAGCTATACCACCTGCCACAAATCCCCAAATACTCTGAAATTCCTCATGCACACTGGTGACAATCTCTTCACCTACCAGCATTTAAAGAGGAGGGGAGGAGAAAGATAAGGAGAGGATAATTTTTCAGTTGCAATGGACCTACAATGATCATCTAGTCCATCCGCCTGAACAATTCAGGACGACCAAAATTTAGAACATGTTAAGGGCATTGTCCAAATGCCTCTTAAACACTGACAGGTTTGGGGCATCAACCACCTCTTTAAGAGGAAGCCTGTTCCAGTGTTTGACCTGTCTCTCAGTAAAGAAATGTTTCCTGATGTCCAGCCTAAACCTCCCCTGGTGCAGCTTTAAACCTTTCCCACACACCCTGTCACTGGATCCCAGGGAGAAGAGATCAGCGCCTCCCTCTCCACTTCCCCTCCTCAGGAAGCTGATATTGCCCCTCAATCTCTTTTCTCCAAACTAGACATATGCAAAGTCCTCAATTGTTGCTCACAGGACATTCCTTCCAGCCCTTTCACCAACTTTGCTGCACTCCTCTGGATGCATTCAAGTACCTCCACATCCTTCTTAAGTTGCCGGCTCAGAACTTTAGGCTCAGGCAAAATGTGTGTCATGATTCAAAAAAGAAAACCTCATCCAAAAAAACCCTTTGTGGCTCAACAGGAAAATTAAGAGGACTGTCATAGGGAAGAGTTTGGCACTTGAAAAACAGAAAACTTGCCCCAATGAGGTGAGTAGGAAAGCCATGAAATGTGGTAGGACATTTAGGAGGCTAAAAGAAAGAATTTTAAGAATGCCATAGACAGAGGGTAATCAAACTGATAGTTTAAGGTTCTTTAAATACATCAAAATCAGGACACTGGAAAGGAAACTGGTGGACACTTTTCTGACAAAGGTGTAACAAGGACATAAGAGTGTCAAGTTATCAGCATAATTTCACTGTCAGAAGGTCTCTGGATGGAATCCTGGTAACTGCAGGCCTGTTTTTCATCCCTACTAGAGTCTATAATAAAAAATCTGAATAATGAAAGTTATGTTATAATGAGAGTCTGTTAGAGAGAAGTTAATGTGACTCCTATAAAGGAAAATCTTATCTCACTGATGTCCTAGAGTACTGTGTGGGTGTCAGTACGCACGTGGAAAAAGGAAATACTTTGAATATAAGGTAACAGAATGGTCAAATAGCTACTGATAAGGTTCTACACCAAAGGTTACTAAAGAAACCAAGTTGCCCTTGTGATAAAAGAAAAGTCCTTCAATTAATTATTACTGAGTTAAAGGAGAAGAGGCCAAAGGTAGGACCTAGTGGTAATTTTTTAGGATGGAGGTGTCCCTGGTAGGTTCCCAAGGAATTCGTGCTTGGAGGTTTACTCTGTGAAGGCCAAGATGGAGGCAGAACAGTATTCAGTAGGTCCTGCAACAGTAGAAATAAGGAGAGCTCAAAGAAACCGGTGAAAAGTCACTTTAAAAGACTTTTAAAGTATAGATTAAAGAAAATAATACAACTTCTGGAACCTGTTCCCAGAGGACATTGTGAACATAGAAAATACAAGCAGTTTCAAACAGAGATTCAACAAATTCATGAATGCTGGTCCATAAACAAAACCTAAAAGGACCAGCTAGGGTGTACTTGCTAACATTCCTAGTACAGCAGCTATGGATGCTGGGGAAATGTCCTGCAGAAAGTGGCCCAGGCTTGTGTGCTTTTCCTGGGTAACACCTCTAGTTGCCACAGTTAGAGGCAGAGTACTGGGCAAGATGGACCATTGGTCTCTCACAGTAGGGTATTTCTTATGCTCTTAGAGCTCTGTGTGATGTTTGTGCCTTTTAATATTGAATAATCATCCTTCTTCATCTGCATGTCATTAAACCTTCTTTCCCACTTTCCTGAAATAAATGTTTCTATCATATTTTGCCTCTGTTTGTTGGAGAGCACGTTGTTTGTTGAGTTTTTGAACGTACACCTCTGCTAACTCTATTGGGCTAGGTACTATGTATACAGCGGGAATTAATTGCCCTAGAAATTTGAATGGTGAACATTTTGGATCCTCAGACAAAAAGCTGTTTTATCATACCTAAGGGTGAGTCAAAAGCATATGTAATAACTTGAAATAATTTTGAATTGTTGTGTTCGAACCTCTTTTGTGTCTAAATGAGTATGTCCACAAAAGAATTGACATTTAGTTCGTCTGTACAAATGGTATTTTACATTAAGAAATGTGTATTACATAAAGAGATTACCTTAAAGATTATTCTTAGTTTAACAGGCATGCACAAAATGGCACTTTCGCTCATAATGGTCAAGTTTTGAAAGAGAGGACGTGAGCGATGAGTACAGACAGATACAGGATTATTGGTGACTCTTGTGTGGTTCTTTTTACAGGAACTTTTGCTTTAACTTCCTTAATATCTGCCAACGCAGTTGAGCGTCTTGTTCCTTCAGTCAGCATTAATTTCACTACAAACAACAATTCAGGACCCTTGGGCCTATCGGAGTTCGAAATGCAGAGGATTGGAGTTGCAGCAGCAGTTTCATTTCTAGGAGGAATCATTCAGGTGGGTGGTGAACACTTATTCTGTACGTTACTGATGCATAGCATTTGTGACAGCTATGACTTTTGTAATGCTGCTTTTTGTTTTTTAACCTATCTGAGAAGAACTGACCATGGGTCTGGTCTGATGCTCATGAACGATGAAATGAATGTATTTTAAGAATTTGCTGCTCCTTCGTCAAGATGTAGTAATTGTCTGTATACGTGCTCCTAGGGCGTTGCAATACGAAGTAAAACCACATTCAGTCAGCTCTAATATAATATTCAGTTGCTGTTGATGTTCTCTTTCCTTCTCCTGCAGAAAGAAAACATGAATCAGCTCCTGGTAAGCATTGACGTATTCCTGAGGTTTTCTATTGCTCTTGGCTTGAAGAGAAATGCTATACAATATTCAATAATTAAAAACAGTGGGGAAAGAATCTTTAAATTCTCTTCAGAGTTCACACACCCACCGTTAAAGTGAAGTAAATTAGTAAAACAGATTTCTTCAAATGATCCTCCAAAGCTTATTCAAATGATCAGAGGTCTTTTAAATTTATTCTCTTTTCCTATTCTGATCACAATCACAGAATTCCTTTATCCCTTGCCAGCTGCCGAGGTCTTCAAAGAAGGCTTCCCTCTTTCCTTGTAAATATTAAAATGGTAGAAATGTTCCAGCTCTTAACTGCAACACCTCCTGGGTACATGGCCTCCTGAAAGAAACTTGGACCCCTGTGCTTTGTGCTTTGGATCCCTCTACCGTGCAGAGAACGAGCAGAGGAGCCCAGAACGGGTTCTGCAGTGCCCTGTGTGCAACACAACACTGCATCACGTGTGAGGTGCCTGTGACAGCAGAATCCTGTGGGACTGCTGTGCCCACAGCCTGACAGTCTCCTCAGCTTGTCTTAAAGGCCAAAATGTCTCAAGTGGGAAGTCGATGCCTGCATTTTGACCTAACTTCAAAAGCCAATGCAGGATTCTTTTGCTTAGCTGCTGCAGAATCCCATTAGGTGTGTAAATCCTCTGGACCTCTTAACTCTTTCATTCTGAAAAGTTCTGCTTTTTCATTTGCCTTCAACAGCAGCGGCTGATTGATCTCAGCCTATGTCCTGCTTAATCCTGATTAGGATGAGAAGAATTAGAAAATCCTCTGCCTGCATCTTCCAAGCAGGTCTGATAGAGAACCATGCCATGTGCATGGGCCCTTTTCCAGGTCAATAATGTCACTTGCATCGTAGTCATACTAATACAGCTGGTGCTTGCAGTGCTGCCACTAGTGTTTCATATGAGTTTCGTGGTTAGAGAGCAGATTAAAATACTTATTTCCCGTACCCTAGAGGAGTGCTTTGAAGCTACTGATCCCACGATATTCAAGTGAAAGTCTGGATCAAGGCTGAGGTTAAACTTTGCCATCATCCCAGGTGCTATTAAGCGTGGGAATCCACATTTCTTATCATCATTCCAGTCTCCTGGCTAACAGTTGCTGCAATTCCCAGATAAGGTAACAGGACACATCTTACTGGTAATGGAGAGCTAAGTGACCTGCTTAGTTATCAGACTAAACTAAAAATTAATGAATAGCCTGGAATAGATAAGGTATTTGGGGACAAGAAGAATGATATGACACATTTTGGGGCAGCAATTTTCTGTTGAAGACATCCCGAAATAGACAGTAGAATTGTCAGTGTAATTAGGATGGTATTTCTCTGGAAAGACAGCAGACCTACGTTATGGTGTCTGCCCATGAAACTGTTTCTTTATACTGAAAAAAAGAAGTCAAAATGCAGTGCTTTAGCCTAATTACACAAAAATGACTGGTTCTGTGACTATTCCATACCTTGAGCAGCTTCCACATCCCTCTCCAAACACCTGGTTCCTTCTTAGAAATAGTAGGTAAAAACCTGAACCTCCTTGGCCAGAAAAGCAATTTGATACTATTTTTCCAGTAGCCTGGCTAAGCACACTAATTAGAAAATAATGTTAAAGAAAAAACAGAAAAAAGCATATAAAATAGTGAGTCAGGGAGGGAAGGCAAAGGGAAGAGGTGTGTTTTTGAGATGAACTTCTGTTGGATGCTTTGTGTTTTGTGAAGACTGTAAATTTTTTTAGTAATTAATTTCAGATTCCTTAGGGTTCATAAAAGAAAGAAGATATTTAGTCGTCTTAAGAGGCATCCTTATGAAGATAACATAGTATTAAAAAAACTAACTAAACATAAGATAAAAATTGTAATTACCAAAAGCATTTAAAATAATGCATTCCCAGAGACTATTTTATTTTTAAAAGCAGAATGGAAAGTATAATGTAGATTTTTTTTAAATTTATGTAACTGCTACTTCATAAAGATAAACAGGGCATGGAAAGATAATCAAGTTGATGGACTTATTCCCTGGTAATTAATATTTCGGAGGTATTGATGGAGAGAGGAAATGACAGAACATAACAGACACCGATGGAATGATTTTGGAATTAGAATTGGATGATGCCTTTACAGCATCAAAAAATCCTCAAAAAAGGCTTTTCGATAAGATTTTTTTTCCTATTAATACATTATATGTGCAAGAATGCTTGCATAAATATATATGACTATAAAAAGCCCCCACATACTAAACTGAAATTCAACATTAAATTTGCTGAATAGACAAGAAAGCTGCTTGCAGTTCAAAGCGAGAAAAAATAATTTTTATCCTAGAAAAAAAGTTGTATTCTCTTAATCACAGTGCTTCAGAATTGAGTTGTGCTACTCTTCTGTAACCGATAAATGGCTGCTTATTGCACTCCAGTCTTCTACATTTTTACTGGTAAGTTTTTCAGCTACTGTATTTTAAAAACTTACATATAATTAGATAGTAATATACAGTGTTGGAGAGAAAAAAATGTTTCTGGTTGTCTGGAGAACAAATTTACATGGTCTATTATCAATTTGCTTAATAATGAATGAGCACGTTTGAATACCAAGTGTGTTTTTGTTAGGCTTTCTTGTCCAAAGCTTTATTTCCCCATGGGGAAAACTGTGCTGCATTATTCTGTGTTGTCCATGAAGTACAAACATGAGTCTTTATTATACAGTGATAATCAGGAAAAGAGTTAATTTTTCTTTCACAGTAGAAATATCGTCTTCCAGGCTCATATTCTGTATCTTGAAAAGAACAAGTAGGCTGGATGGGAGTCTTGGTTCCTACAATTATAGTAGAGCACACTACATGTTAGTCCAGAAAGACCACAAAAAGAAGTCTTTTTCAGGTCCTGGAGTGAGGAAAGCTCACTCCTCAAGTCATCAGGAGCTACCAAATACTCTCAAGCCACCCACAGTGCACTTAAAAGCTGTGATTCAAAAGACCAAAATCTCCTATATACAATGTCTATTGAAAAAGGCGAAAAAGAGTTTTAAATTGGTGACTCAGTCAAGCTGAACTGTCTGTTTCTGACTGTTGGTCTCCAGACGATCCATAGATGTCTTCACTTTTGCAGCCTCTGATTTTGAGGTAACTGTTGCAGGGTAATAAATGAAAGGCTCGCTCTCTGTACTGTTTCCTTCCAAGAAATATTCCCCATGGCTGACCTTATCTTCTGACCTCACGGAGCAAATGATCAGAAGAAGTACCACCACTTCTTTTTCTGCACCTTCCAGAATATGTAGTTTTGAGGGGTTTAAAGTTCTTTCTCCAAAACTGAATTCATACAGCAGGTAACATGATATCAGCGTTTCAATTACTGTGGAGAGAAAGCTGGAGATTAGTGATTTCCAAAGTGCCCGTTATGTGATAAAAATTTTTACTGGCCATAAAATTAGATTGACTACACAGTGAGAGTGGAATTTTAACAATAATAAACTGAGCACGTTGTCATGGGAAGAAAGTATTGAAAGTGGACAAGAACCAAAAGGGCTTGAACTGATGAACACGAGGGCTTTGCTTTTCCCAATTACTCATTTCTTTTTCGGCTAAATCCACATTCTCTTCTTCTACTTGTCTGTAAAATTATGGAGCAGTAAAGACAGAAAAGGTTCCCTTTGCATTATCTTTCTTTCATTCTCATCTTTAGTTTTAATTTTTTTTGAAAAATTTTGTTTTAGAAATACCAGCTGTAATTTTTTTTTGAAGTACCACTTTTCACCACTTCTGCCTAATCACTTGGTTTTCTAATTTGTTCCCATGATCTTTTCTCGTTTACTGTGTATTAACATAAGGCTGCTTCCCCTTACATTCCTCACGTGTTTTTTTTTCCCTTTCTATGACAGATCTTGATTTCATTCACGTGAATCTAATCAAGACTCTGTACCTGGAGAAAGCAAAATTCATCTCAAGACAGTTAGTTCTTAAAGAGGCTTTTAACATAGTGTGATGTACTGAAAAAGTTGCACAAAGAAACTGCAGCCATGTCCCTTTAAAACCATTTTGTTACTGTGATTGCTCTCTCTCTGAAATACTGCTTCAAACCCCAGGAACTAAATTTCAAAAAATGAAAAATTCTGGAGGTAATCCTAAAATATGGGTTTCTCTGTTTTCCTTTTACAGTTTAAGAGAAGCCCAGTATTAGTACAAATTAAAAAAAAAAAAAAAAGATAAACCTATTTGCATCCGGCTTTTTTTTATACTTTATGTTTTTACTGTTCTGACACTTCGCTGTCAGTTTTCCCTGTAGTTTTTCCTGCATCAAGAAGGAAGAAAAATCATGTAATAGATCACCAAAAAAGATGGGAAATCTACATCATGACCACAGCAAGGATAAAGTAGATTATTATAAATTTCTATAAAAATATTGAACTTTCTACATTTTAGTGGTTGCTTAGTGGGTGAAAGTTTTAATGACATAACACAAAGTGATGTAACCATGTGCTGTCAACTCAGCTTAGTTTCAAGTGGTGTTTATGCAAATAGTGGTGGCAGCCAAGCTGTGAACCCCCCGTGCAGGGGAGCAGCTATCTGGAGAGTTGATCTGGGCCTGTATAAATGCTAAAAATATGAGGTATATTTGTCAAGAAAACTCAAGTGCAGCTAGATTTGGGAGGCTTATTTCAAAATAACTTTTTGGCCTCTCTTCATCTAAGCAGGAGATGAAGGACAGCAGGAGTTTCCCATACCAGCTTATGCTGAATATTACACCCTCCTACCCAGATGTTTTCTGTTCTGTTTGCCTCATTGTTAGGTCTTCACCATGGAAGAGATATGCATGCACCTTATATTTATTTAACTATAATGGCAATAAAAAAGTCGGATGTACAGGCTGGTGAAGCATTGCCCTTGTTTCTGGAAGTCCTGAGCTACCCTCTGCAGTACGAGGAGGGGGGACCAGCATAGGCTGTTGCTTATTTAACCGAGTGGCTACAGAAATTCTCTACTTGAGACCATAATCATGGTTTGGATGTAGTTTACATAACCCACAGTTATAAACAAACAATAAAAAGTATGTTTGAAATATGACCTTCCAGTTACCCCCTGTGAAGCAGGGTCACATCCCCCTAAAATGCTGAAGATTCAAAGTTAAAAAATTAAAGTAACAAAATATGAGAGTGATGCTGAAGTTGCTGAATTTCAAATCATGACATCATTTTCTTGTAATTAACCATAATAATTTTATTGGAAATGATAATATTAGCTAATATTTCTCCATGATATTATGTACTTCACAGAATTGTCTCTGTAGCTTTGAATCTGCAGGTAAATAAACATTCATCTCATTCTCCAGAAACTCATCCATTATAGAGTTCAAAATTTTACATCTCTACAATACATACTGATATTAGAAAACAAACAAAAATTCACTAGGGAAAGGAGAATTTGTTTCTTATTGAACTTTGTTACTGTGAACATTGTTTTAAATACATGAATAAGCACACTGTTAGAACAAACAGCTAAACAAAATATCTGAAGTTAGTAATTATTGGGTTTAGGCTTGACTAACTAAATTACTACTCACTGAGGGTATAACAGTAATTATCATTATTGAGTCCAATCTTGAATGGCAATCAATGTTCTGATTGTTCATAGTACAGAGCTATTAATGGGAAATAGAAAAAAAAATCTCAGATTTAATCTCTCAGATGGAAGAGGAAATTGCTCACTAGAGGTTTTTGTGGTAAATGAAAAGCCACTCACTTTGGTATTTTTGTTTCTTTGTGTTGTTATACTTCTAGCTCACTGCTTACAGGTGAGATTTATGGTGAAAAAATAAGTGGTGTTCAAGCATAAAGAATGATAACCTTTAAAGAAATGATTCTTTGACATTGAGAACAAAGCAAAGTAAAGCAAAGCAAAGGAGACTGTCATGTATTCCAAATGGATGATATTTAGTATAATAAACACAAAATAATCCTCCTAGAAAGTATTGTAGCAAACACCTCTGTGCCAAGAGCATGTAACTTTTCAGGCAGGAGAATAGCAAATGCAAAAGATTATGAAGTTAGAAGCTGCTTTTTTTTTTTTTTTTTTAATCTAATGAATCTGCAGAAGTAACTGTAAGGGGAGATGTAACTTAATATCTTGATATAGATCAGAAAAGGATGAAGTGTTATGCTAACCACAGTAGTATCTGTAGGTATGTAATACCTTTGTTCAGAGAATTAAGAACTGTCAAATCTCATTCTTCAGAGGAAAAGAGTGATTGCAGTCTGAGATAAGGGGAGAAAGCCCAGCAGTAAACAACAATACTTCGGGTATTTGTCCTATATACCTAGGAAGTATCTACAATAGTTGTAAATTCAGCTGTAGTCCAGTCCTGGATTAGGGAGAAATATTATTCTTTCATTATATGCCTGTACTCTGAAATAACTTCTGTAAAAGTTGTCACATAGCTGAAATAATCTTCAAGGTCAAATATGGCTGAGTCAAAGTCTACTCTTTTTTCTAGCAGAGAAATTCGGTTTGTATATGGCATTGTGTTTATGAAATTGGATGTTGAATTTTTCTTCCTGTTTTAAATTATCTGAGTGTATACAAATATTTTACTTAAAGTTAGTTCAAGTGTTTCTCAAATGCACAGGAAGTTGATTTTAAAGGTCTTTAAAGTAGTTTACTTCTACTATAAGTTTATAAAGTTTGTTCATACAGAACATAACTATATAAACATCCCTGTTTCTCTGTAAAGAAGATCAGTATTTTTATATTGTCCATCATCTGAAGCAACTTCTGTCAATTCTCTAGCTGAATATCTGCAAAACCAGAACCCTCAACATATGGTTGCCCAGGGGAGCTGTGGAGGTCCCATCCCTGGAAATGTTCAAGGCCAGGCTGGATGGGGCTTTGAGCAACCTGGTCTGGTGGGAGTTGTCCCCGCCCATGGCAGGGAAGTTGGAACTAGATGCTCTTTAAGGTCCTTTCCTATCCAAACCATTCTATGATTCTATGAAGCTAGAGGCAGTGGACTGATGATAGTTGGCATATTTGATGCTATGATATTGTAGCATGAGAGCACCAAGCATCATGTTCTATTGAACCCTATGAGCAGGGTCAGTGGGATATCAGGAGGCTACAGCTCTGCAGGAGAAGTAAGGCAATTGCGTGATGGCATGGGAAGGGAAATCTGGTGGTGCAGGAGCCTGGGGCAGGCAGGACTCTGCCATGAGACTCATGTCTCTCTGGTTCTAGCACCTAATAAATGTGGTAGCTGTTGCTAATGCTAACATTGGGAATCCTGATATTGTTAAGTTGGCAGTTGGTAAGCTGGACCAAGATATGGCCATTTGCCTACTCAGACTGGATATCAGTGGGGCAGAAATGAGTGTTTGCATCACCCTCACGTTTTGAGTTGCTTTAATTCATGTTGCTGTGTTGAGCTGGTTTTTATTGTGCTCGGGTATTTGAGCAGGAGACAATAATAAGCATTGCTTGAAGACAATTTCTCTGAGCCCGCTAATGTTAGAGTCTGGTGAACTAGTGATGTGAGTAAGACAATGCAGGTAAACCCATGGAGCTTCTTCAATGCTTTCCATTTTCAGCTGGGCACATCCTTCAAAGGACTTCTGCTCTTTATCTGATTCATCTTAAAGTATATTAAAAGGACCCTGGGTCATTTTCATATCACCAGGAAGCTGCATTTTATTATAATTGCTGATACACATACCTTTGCCTTCCAGGTCGTGATGTTTATGCTGCAGTTGGGCAGTGCCACTTTCCTGTTAACAGAACCAGTGATAAGCGCGATGACAACAGGAGCAGCTACACACGTCGTGACTTCACAAGTGAAGTATCTGCTGGGAATGAAAATGCCATATATATCAGGACCACTGGGATTTTTTCATGTGAGTTCAGTAACAGAGGTGGTTTATTCCATTAGTTAACATCTTCTTGAATAACTACACTATTTGGCTATATGTAAGTGTAAGAAATTTGTTATGTGGGCATGTGATTGAATGGAAGATGTAACAACAAAGCATCCATCTTGCTCGGTCTGTTTGTAAGAACAGGTCAGGAAACCCTGATGAAGAATTAACAGGAATTGGTCTTATTTTGAAAGGATAGAGTAATCAATTTTAAATACGTGTATTACACCATCAATAATTCCATTCATTAACCTAAGCAATTACACACTTGCACAGGGAGGTTTAACTCTTTCTGGAGCAGCATGTGGAAGGATATATCATCATATATTCAACATACCATTCTAAACAGATTTTCTTCCTATTTTGCTGAATGAAACCTGATCATCATTGCAGTAAGAGAGATATAACACATGATTTGTGAATCTCCTATGTAAAAATTACCCTAGACATGTTAATTATTGCTTTAAGACATTATATTACTTTGCTGTAAACACAGCAACTATACAGCTGTAAGGTAATTTTTATAAAATGCATACAGTTTTTCATACAGTACCATGGTTACTCCCTTTGGAAAGCAGATACTGTTGGCTGAAACTTTAAAGGGTAAAGTTGTAAAACCTTATCCCATAAAAAAGAATGAGCACGCATTCTTCCAGGTAACTTATTCCAGCAATTTAGCTGCTGTGAGCATAATCTCTTGGCAGAATCATTAGTATCACAATCGTATCTGTTAAAATGATATATTGCTTGTAATAAAACTTTATTTACTTGCTGAGATGATATTTAAATTGCACTGATAGCAATTAATGAGTTGATTACCAGATGAAGTGAGGTGTCATCTAGTTAACCACTAAATTAGGACACCTTATTTAAAAGCACTGACTAGATTTTCTTGCACTTCTCTACTCTTTATTTTTTCATATTATTTTGGGAAATTTGTTAATGTGGACTTTGTGATAAGATGTTGTTGCTTTTCAGAATATTTTTTCATAGTTTTTTACAAATTTGATAACGTTTTTTATGGATAATGCGTTTGTAAGTTTTTTACAGAACCAATTTATTAATGAGAATTAGGGGCATATAATAAACACAAGGAATTTGTTTTGTAAGTATATAACTAAAAGTGTCACAGCCATTTTTATGAGTAGTCAGTTGGCCTGTGAGACTATTACAGGTAATTCATCATATATTAAATATTTTTTAATTCTTTAAAAACCTTTTCGTAAATACTACTTAGTTGAAAATGTGACCAGCCTCTTTTTCACAGTGTTTCCATGGAGACTATACTTACATATAGGAATATTGTCATCTTGTAGAGATGACTGATGTTAAGTACCACAGCCAAGACATAATCAAAACATACATTATGAGCAATAATAAAGAACAGCAGTGATAGGAAGAAATATTTCCACGTTGGTGTGCTGATGATATCATAAATGAGGTCATACAAATGCTTTGAAAGAAATATATTCCCTTATCCCTTGTATTTTTTAATGTATCTGAAAAAAGTGCTTTGCCCTTCATTTCACTTTTGAAATCAAACCCCTTTGAGCATTTTCCAATGAAAAATTTTCTTGATTTTTGTAAGGTTCTGAATTGCTCTGTAGAAATGTGTGAAAACAAATGAACAAACAAGAAGTCCTCTGTACAACTTGAAAGAATAATAAAAGCTCTCCATACTTAAAAAGGACAATTTTAACATCCAGGTATTTTAAAAGGTTTCTGGTATCTGTTCAGACTTATGGATTAGTTTAAGAAGGTCCAGTATCTCTGTCAGACGTACCAGATTAGATTTTAACTTTATTTTTTTTCCTCTATGGCGGTAGCTTTATGTGAAAATTATACTAATTAGATATATGTTAGTGTGCATACATAACTGGAGAGTGAAAGGAAAATTTGGCACGTCTCTGTGGACATATTCTTTCCTCCAAAATCTTGAAACCCAGAGACTGGTATTTTTACTTACATTTTTTTCTTTCTCCACTCCAAAACACCTCCCACTCACAAAGCTGATTGCTTTGCCTCAGGCAGCCTTTGGGTTGGCAAAGCAAGAATAAGAATGTTTAATAAAGTGTGATAGGAGAGTTGAAAGTAAAGCAAGCCAGTGAAATGGATTCTTTATAGCAAGTGAGATCATGATTAAATATGTAAAAATGAACTTTATATGGAGAACAAATCTACTACACTGGCATTGAGCCTATGGGACTTTTGTGTTTACACATAGTTCATGTAATTTATTAAATTTCATTTTCCCTGTACATGGTTTGTAACACTGCAATTGAGCTGAACATTGTAGCATTGATTGGTATTTTACAAATGGGAAGGGCAAGGTGAAGGCGAAAAAGAGAAATGGTGAAGGCAAACTACATGTGAGATCTGATTTTACAACAGATAAGAAAAGCTTCATCAAGATTTAGGTAGCATTTGAAAGCAGAAATATCTATATTTGCCCTTTATACATGTGTAGATATATTTATCTTTCCACAAGTTTCTGTGAAAATGCAGCACTGCAAAATGTACTCCTGTAATGTAACAAACCTACTTTGCAAAATGGGGTCTTTTCTGGTGGATGCAGAATTTTTCAAGTTTGTTGCAAAATCCTTGTGGTTGTGCTGCAATCAGCTGAAAAAACTTTCCTGTTCCCACTATCAGTCTTTTTTTTTTTTCCTTTCTCTTCCAGCTTGTTCCCTATATAGTTCACAATAGTTGCCTGTATGTTTTTCCTACAGTGTTTTCTATTTGTCTAGCAAACATCAGAATGAAACATTTTTGAATATGCAATGAGGTCATCTACTGTTAAACTGTATAAAGTGTTTTAACTAATATGTTCCTTTAATTCTATTGTTTGCTTCAACCTCTAAACTCATTTTAAAACTAATCTTTTGGGTTTTCATGAACACATTTAAAAAACGAAAACCAAAAAAGCCCAAAAAACCACAACAATGCAGAGGATTTAATTATTACATCAGGATACACATTCTTTGTACAATATAAACCATTACAATGTTCCTTATTACCCTGTGAAAGTATGTGAAAGTATAGTGGAACTCAAAGTCCTTAATTTCACCTGAGACTAGGGACATTCAGTATCTGTACATATATGTGTGCACAATTAGAATGTTGCTTTTTTCACTTACGTGCAAAGTTACATCGGTTGGAAAATGTTCACTAGTTCCTCGTAATATTGACAGATCATTCCCATTAAAAATCTTTACACAAACCTAGCAATAAAAATAAAAAAAGCAAGAGGCAAACAGCTCAATTAATATATCATGGCTGTTTTTTAAAATTTTGTTAATTATATAATGACATACAAAATTGCTTTGTACATTGAAATATCAAACTAAATTCTGCTACAGAATTTCTAGATTATTTCAGTAAGTGCATCAACAAGATATGTAAAATATTGACTTCATAATGATGTTTGTGATGAAAACATTTATAAATAATTCTTTTGAATCGGACATCAGGGCTACTACAAGCTTGAGCTTCAGGTGCTTACATTTCGGATTTACACGTTCACCTCGGGTGACTACAGGAACTGATTGGACACAATGTATAGTATAGATTGGTAGCTATAGCATGTGTTAACCACGCTCATGGTAAGAGCCACATGCTCTTTTTTTCTGAAGAGCCTGTGAGCAATTTGTGAAATGGTTTCCCAGCTTTGCCTGTTGCGTCATGAAATGGGTGTTTTTAGGTTTTCGGAGAATGGTTACCAAGGAACAGACTAGTCAGTGGAAGCTCTTTACTCTGATGTAGTAATTGATTTAATATTTATGTACTACTGCTAGAATTACTTCAGTGTACTACAGACGCTTTGGGGATAGGGATGTTGGTGCTGCTGAACTTGTACAAGCTATAACACCTTGGCAATCCCATTCTTTTCCATTTATTGCCTGATGTAGACTACACGCTGAAGGGTATGATTTGAAGAAAAACTGTATAGAATACACTGGGTAACTTGTATGAACTGTTTGTTGCAAAGTCTGAAAAAGCTATGACAAAGGTCTACAAGATTTGGCTATATATTTTAAAAATTAAATGGAAGGTTCTTTTTTATAGTTATAAAGAAATTTATAAATATATAGTTTTATATATTTATAAAGAATTTATAAAGAAATATAGAAATTCTAAAAGCTGATGCATATTTCTTTGTAATCTTTCATTAAAATTATATTTATTCCCAGAACCTTGTATCTCACCTTGTCTAGGAAAATTAAATTCAACACCATAAACATAGATAGCAAATGTTAACACTTCAAGAGACCATTCATTTCAAAATAAGCCCACATCTCTTTGACTTCAACACTTAGGAATCAATCCATTTCTTCCCTTTCCTTATCACTTCACCTTAGATCTAGCACAGCCATTGGTGAGTTTGTGGGCACAGTTTACAATACAGTTTTCCAGATTGCCTCCTTTTGGCCTAATTAATCACAGTTTCTACTTGGGCACTGCGCTGAGTCCTGTGCTCTCTTGAAAATGCATTCTTGGAAAATTATGGTTACAGAGCCTCTCAAAACACAATCCACACTGTCTGATTACAGTGGGGCAACATGTGGTTAAAAACTGTGGCTTTGTTATCATTCTTCAGATTTATGACATATATAGTTCATATTATTTAACAAGTATCAGCTAGTTTAAAATGTTTTCCTGGGTTCTGAGAAAAGTTTGTGCTGGGTTACAGTGTACATCCTTAACCAAAAGTCCAAGGGCTAAATTTCAAAGGACTGGACTAAATTTTCCTCTTTACAAGGAATTTATGAGAAATTTTTTTTTTTCTGCAACCATTTTTGACGTTTTGTTTTTTTTAATTTATTTTTTCTCTACAGATTATGAAAATATCCTTAGGAAGGGTGAGAGGAAAAGGAAGTTATTAGTAATTTACTCATTCTTCAAAATGAGCATCATCTCTTCAAGGATGTGAACAGAATCAGAATAGTGGAAAAAAATTGTATCATCATATTGACCACCTTTCTGCTGGAAGAGATAAATTTTTTAGTACTTTTTCCTCTCCAATACAAATTTATGTACTTAAGCTCCAAGCTGTCAAACATTATTATAATTATACATGTATTTGAGAATAGGTTCTCTGGGGCAGAAAATTATAAATCTTTATTTTGATAAAACTACAAGTGTCACTTTTCATTTATTTTAGTGGTCATTCTAGTTGTTGCCAGAGAAAACACCTTTTTTTATTTTTTTTTTAAATATTATTATTTCAAGCGTCAGTTGCTTGATTTTATTATCCTTAATATTGTGGCTTAAAAAGAAGTTACTTGCGATACAGTCTAAATCTACTTCTTAGATTTTAACTTCTGTTCTCTATAAGGTTTACATTTTGGGCTACACAATAATTCCCAGAATATAAACGCAGAATTCAAGGGACTGAGCCTACCTTGGGTTTTATGTGTATTATATCCATTTTCATGTCTTTTTTTTCCTCTAGGCAATGGACTGTTGCTTTTATGCATGAAGCCTGAAAATAATTTGTGATAGGGATCTGATTATTTCTTTGTTTATTGGGACAGAAGTTCCCTCTAACTTTCTTCAGCCCTTCTAACCATTCCAGTAAACTTGTGACTTTTTTCATTACTTTCTGTTAATCTGTTACGATACTGATTCAGACCTTATTTTTTGGACCCTCAAATTCAGAGTAGAACTGAAATTATAGTTTACTGATAACTGTGTCATCTGTGCTGGTGTGAAGACAATTGCATTATTCTGAATCTGTTACTTACAGCATCGTATTCTTCATCAGAGACCCCTGTTACTCATCACCATTAGTCATTCTATTCATGAAATCATGGAATTGTCAGAGTTGGAAGGGACCTTCTAGAGATCATCCAGTCCAACTCCCCTGCCAAAGCAGGGTTGCCCAGAGCACATCACTCAGGAGCATCCAGGTGGGGCTTGAAGATCTCCAGAGAAGGGGACTCCACACCCTCCCTGGGCAGCCTCTGCCAGGGCTCTGCCACCCTCACCCCAAAGAAGTTCTTCCTCAGATTGGAGTGGAACTTCCCATGGTCCAGCTTGTGCCCATTGCCCCTCATCCTGTCACTGGGAGCCACTGAAAAGAGTTTGGCTCCATCCTCCTTCAACCCACCCTTTAGATACTTGTCAGCATTGATAAGGTCTCCCCTCAGCCTTCTCTTCTCCAGGCTCAAGAGCCCCAGCTCTCTCAGCCTTTCCTCACAAGGGAGGTGTTCCAATCCCTCCATCCTCTCTGTTGCCCTACGCTGGACTCTCTCCAGCAGTTCCCTGTCTCTCTTGAGCTGGGGAGCCCAGCACTGGACACAGGATCCCAGCTGCGGCCTCACCAGTGCAGAGTAGAGGCGGAGGAGAAATATTCCATATTTGTATTCCACATGTTCCTGTTATTCAACACCAGATTTCCTTTCTTCATCACAGACTAAACTATATTGTTCTAACCATCTTTTACAGCACGTTGCACCACGCCTTAACCTTTGAAAAGCTGAGGGCCTCCCGTCTGCAGCTCCATAACTCTGCTCCAGTCTCCTCTTCCTCCCTTAGCACTGCAGTTTGCCCCTCATTTGCAGCGATGTAGCCACTCCCCAACATCCCAGAGCCCGCTGCAGCAGGACTTTGAACTCTGTGGTCCCACTTGCACCTCACAATTCCTGCACCTTGCCATGGAGAGTTTCCCCTGGAAAGCACTCGCCGCTGATGTGTGAATCATCCCTTCCTCCCCTACTCTCTTTTTACCTCCTGCTTTGCAGCTTTTAACTTGTAAATTTATGCTAGGGAAAGAAACAGGGCTTAGTAGATAATATTAGTTATTTAACTAACCAATAACATACATACGCAAAGCTTGACAGCTTTGTGCAACATCTGGACCTGACCCAAGGGTGCTCCATGGAGCACTGTTTGTGTAATGGGCAAGAGCAAGCAACAAGGAGAGTGAGTGTGCCCTGGATGGATCCCCTTGTGCACTCGAGAGGATGCCCTGAAGATGACCTTCTGGGATGATTCCTGTTGCTTCTCTTTCCCTCCAGCCACTACTTCATTTTTCTTTCTCTTTTCATTCTTCTCTCTCCTTCTCTTTCCCTCCCTTTCCTATCTTTGAAAATTTTTCCTCCAAAGTAACTCTTACTATTAGAATTGATGTTAGAATTATAATTAGAATTGATGTTAAGAGCTATAGAAGCTGCAAATAAATGTTGTGCGTGTAGGCTTCTCAACTTTTTTGTGCAGCACTCATCTTACTGAATTTAATGAGACTGAGTAAGAAAAAGTTACATACCCAATTTACTGGAATTTTCTTGCTTGTTTCTACCAATAGAAATTTGTAAAATCATGTATACAAATATTCACTGCGTTTTTTGAGCTTTCAAAAGTCCGTAGTATTTTAGCAATAATAAATTGGGGATTTTTCTTCCTTGCGAAGTCTGAAGTGTAGGGCAGTTTGTCAGATGACTGGGCTCTTGCAGAATTGATTCAGCTCTCTCAGATTATTTGAGATGTCTGAAGCTGTGTAAATTATGCCATAGCATGTGACCCAAAATGATACATTTTTTGACCTGTGATTGTTATTTGCTGTTCACTGTAGATTTATGCCTACATATTTGAGAATATCAGATCGGTTCAGCTGGAGGCTTTGCTTCTTTCCTTGCTGAGCATTGTGGTGCTCGTTCTTGTTAAAGAACTGAATGAGAAATTTCAGAGAAATATTAAAGTTGTTCTTCCCATCGATCTAGTTTTGGTAAGTACAAAACGAAACATCAGGCTTTTTGCTTTACAAAACTTCGTGGAATCTCTAATCTGCTGAAGTTCACTGTGTTGTCTACAGTTACCCGCAGCCACACCTGCCACTTGTTAAATGGATAGCTAATTTTCATGGCTGGATGTTAAATTTAAGAACAGGAAATACTTTTTGCTAAACAATTAAGAAAGAAGTGACATACGTTACCAATTTGTATAACATTTTTCATAATCACAATAACATGAAGCCTAGAGTGCTAAAGTGCAAGAAGTCTGAAATAGGAAATGAAAAGTAACAGGCACACTGTAACGCCAGGCAAATCTTGTGCTGGGTAGTTGCATTATAAATCCTTACTTTAAGGATTAAACTATAGTCAAATAGCCAGCACCAGGACAGAATATTTCTGGTTTTCTTTAGACCTCTAAAAGAAAATTTAAAGAAATGAAGTGCAGATGCTTTTCAGAGTAGATCATCACAATTGCTCTGCTTTTGCTGGAAAAAGTTATTTACAGAAGAATATTTTTTCTTGGGTAAAATGCTGGAAAAAAAGGTAGTGTGAAGATCTGTTTCTGTGTTGCCTTTTAAACAGTACTGGATAAAACGTGCTGACAAACTGAGGGTCACCGACTGGAACCTGTGCCTGTTCTATTGGGATTTGTGTGTCCATCTGATAAAAAGTAAAGGAATTGAGTGTAGAAGTCATCAGGGCCAAATTTTCCACTCCCTCAGCAATATTTATACCTGTAGGAAAATAAATATAAGAGGCAACCACACCTTCTGCTGTGTTTTGTGCTGAAGTTGACACTGCCAGTCTGGATTAGATGTGCTCAGAGAACATCGAATGAATGAGATGACTCAGGAATACCTAAATTATGAATTATTTTAAGGTGCTCATGTGAATGGCAGCAGTCTGGGGCACGTGCTGCATAGAGGCAGTTTGGACAGTGATTGGCAAGATGCCCGAGGCTTTACAGACACTTGCTCAGATCCCTTTCATCCAAACTCTATCATTGTCCTTCTTCAGTCATCTTCTCTAAATTCATTATTGTATCCCTATTTTAGATTTTTTTTACTCTATTCCACAATTTTCAAAAATCTTCATAATAATTTTTCCCTGTCTTACGGAATTGATCTAAGAATAAATGCATGAACACTGTCATGTTCTTAGGTATGGCAATAATGGGGACCATGTGAGAAGCTAAAAGCAATAGAAACGTAACATCTTTTTCTGTGTTGAATTAATAGATAATTGCTACATCCGTTGCCTGCTACTATGCCGATATGGAATACGTCTATGGGCTAGAAGTTGTGGGACATATTCCTGAAGGGTAATATGTTTTTTATTAGCTTGTGGCTTTTGAATATGTTTACTTTGGGAACAGTCTCTGAAGAGGTCAAAGTAGTTTTCTGAAATAAGAAATGGCAAAAATCTATTATGTCCATTTCCAGCCTCCTCAAATACTCTTTCACAATTCAACTCCATGTTAACAAGGTATATCGGCTTAGATATTGTCATAAAAAAGCAGACTTTCTTGTACATTTTCATAACCTTTTCATTACTTTATGGAATAAAAAGTAGGTACTAAATACCTGATGATGGCTCATGGATGTATGACAGGAGGACAGAGCACTCTCTATAAGATTATTGCAACCTGCTTTTGAGGGTTGCCTTGGGTTATTGTAGCAGAAAGGATTTATAATGAGGTAAGGCTTGTACATTACTACACTTAATTCTTCTCCACTCACTGATATAATAATTTTAGAAAATGGATTTTTTGAGGAAATGTAAAGGAATTAGATATGCTTATTCTAGAAAAAAGTATTCTAACTACAGATAATGATACATTATTCTCCATGACCTTGAAGAGAAGTTGAAAAAAATATTCAGTATAATCTAGAAAGAGAAATTAGATGAGATGGTGGAGAGAATGTTAGGACTCTAAGGGTTGGTAAGGAATAGCACAGCTGTTGTGTTCCCCTTTTGGAAATTGCAGGGTTTCCCTAAATTTTACAAAGTACAGCATGAGCACAGCATGTTTGGCAGTTTGGACTGATAGAAATAAAATAAAGGAAGTCACTGAGAAAGAAAACAATTTTTAAGTATTTACGGCATACTATTACGTGTTATGTATCTGAGATTAAACAGGGCTAAGAGTACCTTTTTGATATGTTTTATGAACAGCTAAACTGTATTGGTGCAGCTTTAGTCAGGAGCTCATTTTCTGTCTAAACTCACAGGAGGAGACTCTGCAGTGTTGAGAAACACAAGCAGACACATCATTCCTGTGTATTTTTAGGCACTTACCTGAAATATTTAAGTGAAATATCAGTGGGGAGTGCTGGAAACCTTCAGAGCACAGTTTGGCTCTCAAGCAGTGAGATTTGTGCTCTGGAGAGGCTAAAGTCTTTTGGTGGAGTACAGAAACAATCTGGGATGATTTGGTTCTTAACTGAGGTATTTATTGCAGGTCCCATTAGAAAGTCTCCATTAGATGGAAGAAATGTCCATACTGTCCATAACCTGTAGGAATACTAAATTGTTTAAAAGGTTTAAACTTCACAGGAAAGCCAACTATAAAAAAGAAAAAGAATATACACCAGAGGTTTTTTTTATCATGCATTAGAAAATTAGGAAATAGTTGCTGGTTTTATCTGTCAGTGGGGGAGCTAATTTGTAAAGATCCCTTTATAATTTCTCAAATTGAAGTTTACAAATGGAATACGCCATCTGACACTATTCCATTTTCCTGAACAAATTCTCTCCTGCAGTTCCCCACAGACCTTAATTATCTAAAATATTGAAAACTATCACTTTACAGGTATTAAAAAAATAAGCTGTGCATGCAAAGATTGTTTCTCTTATGTTTTCATTAATTGCAGGTGCATCAGTTATGTTCCAGGCTTTGCAAAAAGGGCTGTCTTTATGTTTTTTATAGGTTACCATCACCAAAAACACCACCCATGAATATCCTACCTGAAGTAGTCACCGAAGCTTTTGGAGTAGCATTGGTTGGTTATGTAGCATCACTAGCTCTTGCCAAAGCCTCTGCTAAAAAGCTTAAATATACTGTGGATGATAACCAGGTAAGGCTCTTTCTTCTTATTGTCAATAAACCTTGAAATTCCTTCATCATTCTGGAAAAGTATTACAAATGAATGGCCAGTAGGAAAGGGTGAGTTCCATATGACATGTTGAGGCCTTCCAATAATCACAGTAAATTGCAAATCTAGTCCAAATCAGCTCTGCAGAACACCCTAGTTGCCTGAGCTGCCTCATTTTGGGGAAACGCATTCTCCAGAATAATCTCATAATACTGGATTTGGTGCAGCCAGTTTGGGTGTTAAGGCATTTTTCCAGTGTTTTAAGACAGACAGCTTCTCCTCTGACAGCTGAGCTCTGAAAGATCAGCTAAGACTTAAATCAGCCACTGATTAAAGAAACAAAACAGTCTTAAAAATAAACTAGGTACTTATATCCCCAGGACATATCTGATATTATAAAATGAAGCTTATGCAAACTAGAAGTCTTATTTGAAATAAAGGTTTATTTGTATAAAAGAAGCAGAGTGGGTTCAGGCAGTGCTGCCAAATTTGCAGCCATAGGACCTTTCTGTGCAGAGTTCCATTTTACAGGGGGCAAGCTTAAATAAGAGTGGGATGTTTTCTGTCTCAACTACCCCACTGCTGGTCATGGTGGGTGGGTAATCCTAAACCAATTGGAAATCCGTGGAGGCAATTATTCAAACACTGTAGCAAGAAATGCTCCATTTTAGACAACTGCTAATGATGTGGTGTGATGAAAATGTTGCCTCAACCTTTCCCTTAACTGGTTTGGGACAAACAACATAAGGTTAAACGAAGAACAGTTGGTTTTGCAGCTGGAGGTCTATTTGAACACCCTGTGTAGACAGGTCAGTCTTGCTACATCGGTGCATGTCTTCTACCACTGTGGAATTGGAAAATATGGTGGGAACACTCTTGTCTACTCAGGTCTCTAAAATGTTGTTCAGAATAAATTATTTGCCATGAATTTCTGTTGATACTTCAGAGCCATGTTTTATAGGGAGCAGAGGGAAAACGTTTTGAGCTTAGTGCAAGTCAGGCTTCAGGGCAATATGCTGTCTTGCCTCAAGAGCACCAAATGGAGCACAGCAACCTGTACGTCTTTCTGGACCTTTGGCAAACTTGTAGCTTATACAGCTTAATTACTGAGTTGCTGGAAACTACGTGTATGTGTGCATCAGATAATGGAGAAAAAGAGTAAAACACTGTCCATGAGAACAGAACCGACAGTGGCAGTGGGTTGGTGTAGCTGTGCTGCATTCAGGGGCCAGGCAAAGGGCTCTGTGGATGTGCAAGACTGTCTGGGGAGCTTCAAGGTGGTGGTGTCCTGTGCTGTGAAGACAAACTTATGATCAGGTGTTGCCCTGGCTGGATGCAATACCAGTTGTGTCCTGAGCACTTCTAGCAGTGTTGAGGTCTTTTCTTACCCATTGCCCTCAGGAGATGAATGAGCTCCTTATAGTCTGGTGAAGAAGACTGATTCGGGGTAACCAAGTTGGACTGCTTTCTTAGAAAACACTGTTCAGCTCAGGCCGCAGATACAAGGTGGCTTCCCCACTTTTTCTTCTATAAATCTTTGTTCAGACATGTCTGCATTTTTACTGTGAATCAACATCAAATATATTTGTAATGAAAGACAGCACACATATAATATTGCTACCATACTTCACTTTCACTAAAGCGTGCTCTAAAAGAATAAAAATCAGTGGCTGTCTTTTTCCAATAGAATCATAAGCCAGAAACAACCTGGACACTGTCCAGATCCCACTACTTGTGAATCTGGCCTGTTAAAAAGCAGATGTGGATCAAGACGTAAATATTTTGGACGAATTTCATCTTCAGAACTGAGCAATACCATTTATTCTGTGAACAAAATGCGCCTCCTGCTTTTGACGAACCTGGTTCAGCAGCTTTATCATTCAAATTAGTTCTGAGTTGTGAGAAGATGTATTATGTTGGGAGGACATATGTGACTTTTTTCCCCTCAAAAATATGGCCCTCCTTTGTTACTGCTAATAGTTACAGGCATAATATTTACTCCTTTGTTGGCAAGAAACATTGAAATGACAAAACAATAGGAAAAAACCATATTCTATTTAACAACTTTGCAGGAATTTTTGGCTCATGGTCTCAGCAACGTGATTCCTTCATTTTTCTTTTGCATACCAAGTGCTGCAGCGATGGGACGGACGGCACTATTATACAGTACGGGTGCCAAAACACAGGTAATGGGTTAGAGGGAAATATATAAGAGAGTTAAGGCTGTGATGTCGCTCACTGGAACTTGAACTGATTTATCCATAGTATTTCCTTATTATCCCTTTTCCTCTGTCCTGGAAAATGACTGTGCCCTGTAATTTTTAACAATTTTCATGGAATTGCACCTGATCAGCAACTGTCTTACTAGAAAAGCTAATGGTTCCACTTATTCATTTTTACCTGATTAATTCAATATAAACTCTAAAGTCTGTGGCAGTAAGGCGGTTAGGAGCTGTGTTTTCAGACTGCAGGAAACTACACACAAGCTCTCTCAGTTTTACGTGAATTTGCCAGCACTGTAACAAAAGTGCCCTCTAATGGTATTTAATGGATTTAGTAGTACAGGCTAAGCTGAAGTTTTAGGAAAAAATCAGATTTTATTTATTACTTCTACCTTATCTGCAAAATAAAGTGAAACTAACCTTAAGAGTTGTTTCGTAAAAAAAACCAAGTAATCTCTGAATTTCTGCCTTGTGACATGGTGTACTTGTCCAGTCCCTCAATATTCATTGAGCCCGCAGAGATGACACTCTGATTTTTGAGGACTTTTTGGGCTATTTCCTACTGCTAGAAATGAAACCCACAGGTTTTTATGGCAGTAGCTCAGAAAAGAGGGAACTGCAATTGATGAAAATTATAGTTGTGACCTGTAAGGCTGTTACCCATCCAAACCATGCCCATGAACAAGAGAAGTGGCAAACTGTTCATCTGGGACCTTTGCACATGCAGTAGGGACACCCCTGGGGCAGCTCCTAAGTGTTGCCTCTCCCTCCTTCCTCTGAAACTCAAGGGTCCTCGGTGGCATCCTATCATAAAAATGTTATGTCTTCTGGAGTTTGTTGCTATTGTCTTTTTATAGCTGTTGCTTTTATCTGTGTCAAGGTCATTAATTACACGGGAAAGGGTAACAAGGTACAACTGATAAGGCTAACCAGCAGCCTATAGGTGCTATTTTTAATTCACTATGTCCTGCAATTTTTTCCCATGCAGATACCACAATAGTTAAGAAATGATACAGGACTTTATTTCAAAACTCTGCATGTAAATTACTTGCTAATTAGCCCAGACAGTACTGTGAAGTCGATTAATCGTAATAAACGATTTATCCAATTGTCATCTTTAAAATAATTTATATGCAAACAGTTTAGCTACCACTTTGCTATAAGTTATTTCAGATCTTTGAGTTGGATTCAGCGTCATACCATGAACCCCCATCCTCACAGACATCCTCTTCTGTAACATGTTCACATGTTGCCTGTACAATTTGCAGTTCTACTGCATCATGCCTTTTCCAAGGAAGCTTTAGGGTAGCCTGACGACCTATATGGGTAACCTGAAGGCATATAGGGTATTTGAGCACTTTGGCTCTGGTACGTGTAGGCAAAGGCCCCAACAGAAGGTTATTCAATATATGAAATGGAAAAAGAAACCACCAAGGTTTGACATTAAGGTAGGAAGCACATTGTAAAAATAACAAGCATCTGCTTGGTTTTATCCACCAGTTTCACAGTATAGTAAAGACTGCAACCAAAAATTAGAGCATGGCCATGCATTAGCACTATGACAATACTTTGATAAACATAAAATTTTCTCTGCTGCCTTTTTTTTGGAAAACAGCATATCCACTCAAGCCTCTGATTTTGAGGCTGTCTGGGCCGAATGGAGAGATAAGAAGGACATCTTTGCTAAGTGTTGGTCAGATCACAAGAAAAAGATCACATAGAAAGAAGTCAGTTTGATTTGACATACATCATGAAAGGAACGTGAAGAACCTTTCAGGGGCTCAGAGCTGCACATTTTTTCTCTCCAACAGCTTTGCCTGGGTTTCAGTGATGTCATTTATTCTTCAGTGATACCTTTTTCTGGGAGAAAACAGAAGTGATGGGCAAGAAGTGTCCTTCAAAGAGAATCAACACTTCTTTTTTGCTTTTTGGGAAGGCAGAAAGAGGGAAAAGTTCCTTGTGGCTTTACCAGCAGATTTTGTGTCCCTTTTCCCGTAAACACTCTGTCTATCCTTCTTGATGGTATTTTTAAGTACAGCATGGCTTTAATTCTCTAGTGTTTTAACAACTTGTCTGGTTTTGTTTTTAACAACTTGTCTCTTAAAATGAAACCTAATTATTTTAGTAAAGAAACATATTATCAATATAAAAATAAAGTGAGCATCTGTCTACTTATCATCAAAACCTTCTGCAAATCTGGACTGTATGTTAATGAGACCAGAAGTATTCTATTTTGTACACAGAGTGGAGTAGGAGACTGCAATTTCAGTGTAGTTTCCATCAGATTAATACCATATAATACTGTGAAGGAATATATAATTCTTAGGTCATATATTTGCCTGGATTCATGTCACATGCATTAATTATAACATGTTGAAAAATTGTTCCTACATTTTCTGAAGTCAATCCACTGATATTAACATAAAATCATTGGTGGTTTCTGGCTTTACACAATAGTTTCCTTTTAGTGTTGATCCCAGTAAAAGAAGTTAAAAGTCTTCTGTTGTGCAAAAATGACAATACAATTTTCCAAGTTTTGCCCAGTGCTATGGCAGATCTATGATTCAGTGGAACATGGGGTATGTGGCTATAAATACATTACAGAATGACAGTGGGTGCTGTGAAACTTCTGGGGTGAGATATTGCACACACACACTCCACTTAATAACCAAGTGTGTAAATGCTGCTGCGGGCTCTCTGTGGGTCAGGGTCAAGCACAGGTACTGAGATCTCTCACTAAGTTTTCACTGTAGTTGGCTGAAGGTAATCACCAGAGATTAAAACTGAAATTATACGGAACACCAATCCATAGCTTAGCTAACATCTTCAACATCCCGTTCTTAACTTTGCAATATTTAATATTGAGTCCTTTTCACACCTTTTGTTGCTGTTGTTGTTAGACTGAATGGTCTTTTTCTATTTGTTTTAGGTGGCTTGCCTTATCTCTTGTGCATTAATTCTTGTGGTGATCTATGCAATTGGACCTATGCTGTACTGGCTGCCTATGGTATGGTACATACCTTCTTTTTTAAAGATAATGTCAAACATCTTCCAATGATATAATTTATTTCAGGGAAAGACAGTACTACCTCTAAAACTTCTCTATTTAATTTCAATGGGAGAAAGAATAATAAAGGCACAGCAAGTCTCAAAATCATAAAATACAGAGGTGACAACATAATACATGTAGATTTTACACATATATATTTGCCTATATAGACTATCATGTAAGCATATAATGAAGCGTTTCTCTTTTACTTACTTTTGGCACGTAGTTTATGAAAAATATACATCCAGATTGATGTGGATTTGTAAATTGACAAAGTGTGGTAGAAATTAATGAAGATCCACAATTTTTCTCCAGTTATGCGTATGATGTATGACTTTGCTTTTCAAATAAATTTGACACAAATGATTGTAGGTAGTGATCTGAGCTTAATTACAGAAAGATTATGAGATATTCTTATATCTCTGTCATGGAATGCATCCTCTACACTAAGACTCTGTAAAGCAATGTGGTATATTTTCACATAGGCTATATCTAGCTTTTGGTATTACAAATTAATAGCTAATTTTAACCAGAGGCATGCCAAAGACATGAAGTACAGCTCCAAAATTAGCCGTAGTTCTGCCATGTTTGTATATGAAATTATAGCTCAACTGTATTTTAAATTTACTTTGTTTACAGAGCTATTGTTTACAGTGTCACATGAAGATTCTCACTTTTCAAACACAGATCCTTTTATAGCTTATTTTACCCACGCAGAGTAAAGACACTTGAAGAGGGATGCACAATATGTCTTTTTCTTTCTATATTGCTTTCCTCCTTAAATTTTTTGTATCGGTTATATGTAAATTTTAACTGTTTTCTTATAGGCCTTTTTTGCCATATTAACAACAAAAAAAAACCACCAAAAAAAAAATCTTTGTATGTTGCTTTCTTGATATTTTATTTCTTTTCTACTATGCTTTTTCAGCCCTCCCCACTCATGCACTGCAAGCCCATTGCTTTGTACTCCATTCTTTTTTGGCTCCAGATGATTTCTCCATTCCCCTTTCCAATTTGGAGAAAAATAAATTATTTCGTTTGCCTCAAAGTTAATGAATTTTTTGCTCCAGAGGCTTTCTCTTGGTAATAAAGAAGGGGGATTAAAATTCTTCACCATGTGGAAGCTGGGTGCTGATTTGCTCCCTTGTCCCCCAAACTATGACAGAACATCATTGTTCTGGTGATGTATGGAGAGTCTTGGGACATCCTGAATTTTCTGTCATTTTCTCACAATCAAGTGGCCTATAAACAGCCTTCAGGAAAGAAATATTGGGTTTGACACTGTTATGTTTGTGTCACAAGACCACCTGTGTATATCCCATTTTTTAAACACTAACTTCAGTTTTTTGATAATTCAATTATAATATTGACTGCAAAATTGAAGAAATTGTTTTCTCTACCAGTTCTACAAATGGCTTTCCATTTTTATTTCTTTGCAGTGTGTGCTAGCAAGCATTATCGTCGTGGGTCTGAAGGGGATGCTAATGCAGTTTCGTGACTTAAAAAAGTATTGGAATATGGATAAAATAGACTGGGTAAGTGAAATTTAATCTAAGGAAGTTTTCCTGAGACCCTTTAACAAATACCTACTAAATAAACTTCAGTAGTTCTGTGACCCTAGAAAATATAAGTGCAAGCCATTATTATCAGGTGTTTTGTGTCCTATCAGCTTATTGTCTGTCTCAGAATACCAGCATTTGTAATGTCAATTGTAATAAAAAAATAGAATTTTAGCAAATGATAAAGAATCAGACCTAACCTAATTCTAAATATGTGTACACAGGCTGTTGTGGTTTGGGCTGGGTTGGCCAGTGACAAGACAACAGGTGCTCTCCCCCACCTCTGGCTCTAAGGAGAGGAAGAAGAGAGATGAAGAGTTACGAGTTTAGGAAAAACTAAACTACTTTAATAAAATATTAATAATATAATAAAAAAAGGTAATAATGAAATAGATACAATAGCTATAAAAATACATACAAAACTGTATTGAGCTGCCAGGGAGATGTCACTGGCAGGCACTAGGAAAGTTCCAGACTGGTCTCAGTGACAATTGGGAACTGGATTCCAGAAGACTCTGATGGGGATCAAAGGTAGATGAACTCACATGGCCTTCCTCATTGAAGAACCCCGCCTTGAAGAGGAGGCAACGTGACTGCTTTTGATCCCTCAGCTTTTATCCTGAGCACGGCAGATGGGATAGAATACCCTGTTGGTCACTTTGGGTCACCTAACCTGTCCACACCTCCCCAGAACTGCAACCCTTCCACAGGGTAAACAACCAGGAGAGCTGACTTGGATTGCTACAGCAACAAGAGCCTCTGTCACTGAACAGAAAGTTGGCTCTGCTCCACCCCAAACAGCACAACATGCAGATTAAGTTAATCTGAGCAGCTGTGTGTCTGATTTTGTATTCCTTCTCTAGCTGGTTAGCTTACTTTTGCTATTGTACTATTATTGAAGAGATCCTGGTATCTTTGTCCTCTGGGGATATGGAATGACCATACAAGACAAATAGAACTGGAAACACTAGAGATGCAGAAAGATACACATCCTAGGGTGCTGCAGGTAAATTGCTATAACTCTAAGATAGATCTATAACTCCAGATAGATGGAAAGAGGCTGAGTATGAAAACCTTGTTTAATGCAAAGTCTGAATAGTCTAGCATACATTTGCACAGAATTCCTAGCAAGTATTAAAGATGATCCATGTTTAGAAAAACTCCTAGATTTCTCTTCCAAAGGAGTTTTTGAATGCATTGGCCAATTAGTGGAGCCAAAACCTATAACCACTTACATAAATACCTAGTGACATCCCATAAAGCTTTTGCCACTTCTGTTTATGCAGTTTCAGTTAACAAATATTCAGAAAGGTATTTTGGCCATATCCTCCTCCTTGTGGTGGAAGATATAGATTACTGGAGGTAATACTGACTTTGTTTAACTCACCAGTGACATAGTATTCTATAGCAGTAATGGTCTAGACTGAATAAACCTTTTTTCTTTTTTTTTTTTTTTTTTTTTTAATAAAGTACTGTATTTCAGTATGGAAAGAAGAGCTGAGTAAACAATATGAAGTTTGGCTATGTGAGATTTTTCACATTTCATCACAATATTAGAGTCTTTTTTTTTTTTGAATCATCTAGAATAAAATATCTATCTTTCATGAAATCTTATGGTCCTCAAGCAGAAGAATTCTGAAAATATTTTCTACCACTTGTACTGTATTTGGTCTTCAGCTGAAGTCATATTGCCAGTGACCCAGATGGTGAATGATGTGGATCCAGAATTATTTTTGGGACAGTGGACTTAAGAAAATTGGTAGTTATGGGAGAGAGAGATAGCTTCTCTATCAGCGTGTTGGGATAATAAGTAGTTAAGTTTTCCAGCTGGATATTCTGGAATCTCACTAGACTTCTGTGTCTTCTTTGTCTTTTTTGTGTCTTTGCAGATAGACCAAGTTGGTTGATTTTTGCTTTTGTGGTTTTGGCAGAAAAGGATGAGTGAGTAGTTAGCTACTACTTCTCTGACATCTGTCATTATTTCTGAGAGAGGTTATATAGAGGGAGAGTTTGTTGGGTTTATCTTTTTTGACTGAACATACTTGAACAATGATTTATCTTCAAGTAGTTGCACGAGTCCTTAGCCTGACAGACTAAATCATCTAGCTTTAAATTGCATAACCTAAAGAAAGGTTATAAACGTTGATCTTACATTGCTGCCTGGTCTGAGGAGCTCCACCAAGCCCAGTGATTTGAGTAACTACACTGGTGTTGATTTTGGCCAGAAAAGATTCACCCCAGCAATTGACAGCACATTGGAAATGATTAAGTTCCATTACCCAGGTTATCCAAAGTGTCTTGAAGATAGAAACTCTAACAAAACATTTGGAAATAATTAGCAGCTGTCCTTTCTGGAACTGATTCTTTGAAGGGCGTGTGTCATGTAACATAGAGTCAGGTTTGTTATGCTCATAGGTCTGGCAAATGAGAGTGTGGGGAAACAGAATATCATGGCTTTTGTTACCTTGTTCCTTTGCACTCCTTTAAGCTTCTCATTGAACACAAAAAGGATAAGTAATATTTATTTGTTGATTGGTTCTTTATAAAATACAATCCTGTTAAATGTTAACGGTACAGCTTGAAAGGTACAGCTCAGGAGCTGAACTCAGAAGCCTAGTTTATGCATCCCTTCCAATTTAGGATATTCTGTGAATCTATGAAATCTCTCATTTCAGCCATGGATTGCTTTTTCTTGCAGATTTAATGTTTAGGAGCAGCTCGGTTCAAAGGAGCAGATAGGCTGGTAGACCTAAGTAGTTAATACTAAATATTATCAGCTGAATATTATTATATTTATTGCTTCAATTTTCTTTCAATTTGTTTTTTATCAGCCCTCGGGAATGTTCTGTTTTTACATCCCACCTCTCAAATCACGTTCACTTTCTTTCCAGCTAGAACCTTTTTGCCCTTACCTTTCACAACACTCATGAACTTCAAAGGCTTCTCGCTTCAGTTAAGGTCCTCTGTGAGTCCTTACACTTTCTTGGATGACTTCAGTAATTTCAGCTCAATAATTGCCCTATTTCACTATATGTGTTGAATACATAACTGTACGCATGGCAGTATTTGTCTTCCCTCTGCTGTCTTCATCTTTTGGCTGTTTCCAAGATATTTATTCCTATGTTATCTGTGTTTTGTAAGTTAACCTGAGAATGATTCATCTTGAATTTTTGCCTATTTTTGGGGAACTACCAGGAAGTTGCTCTGGAATTCTTCTGTAAGTATATCTCACTTTTCAGGTCCTTGGATCAACAATTGACTTCCATACCCTACCTGCCAGGCTAATTTCTTATGCAGGCCTACTTCTTGACTAACTTCCCTTTTTTGTTCTCCAGCTTGACAGTTCAGTTTCCTAGTATCAGCAAAAGGGCCAGTGAAGTTTTTGTTAACTCTTGTTTTTAAGGCTGAGCATCCCAGATGAGCTGCAGCCATTTAAACTAGGCAAAGACTACTGCCTGGTAATGGACTTGTGGAAAAAAACAAAACATTGTTCTTGCTGTTAACAGTTGGACTTGAAAGTGACAAAAGATGGGGGGAAATATTTCAGAAGGTCACAATAGAATTAGCATCATTTTCATGACAATTATATAGTGGGGTTTTGGGGTATTTAGCAGAGAAATACTATGGCATTTAAAGCGAAAAAAATGTTAATAATTGTATGAATTGCTTCACCAGGAAATGGCTACAGCTGAGGCAAAGCTAAATTGTATACCTGGTTTGTAAAGCAGAAAGAATGGCAACAATTTACGGTTAAAATTAGACATTCCCTGCCTGATGCTGTGATGGGGGAGGTAGTTATGGACATATGAATTGTAAATGTATGCACATACATTAATATATAAGGATGTAAAGAATGCTACCAATTCAGCAATTAAAGTAGATCCAACAAGGAGGGTCTCATTTTCGATAAATGTCCTCCAAGATCTTGCCGGTTGGATTTTCTAAGACATGGATCCACCACCCTGTCGATCAAATGCAGTAGGGGGCCCAGGGAGAGCTCCGTGTAATTTTGGAGCTCACTGGTGCAATTTCATATGTTTTTAGAACTTTTTAACATATCCTCAGGAGGGAGGTGAACTCTGAGATTTGGTCAGGTATTGGTCACATAGGGGCCCTGATTCATGAGACATCATTGAGGGCTTTACTGTATAAACAATTTTCCAAAGAGCAGGAAGCCATCTCTTCTATGATAATAATTTTACACAAATGCTTCCAGCATATGACATCCTAGGGAGATTTTTCTATCCTTCCCATATTACTGAATATGCTATCCTGAGTTAAATTAGTTTTGCTGTAGTTGGTCTCAGTGGGGAGGGAAGGAATTTACAAATGCTTAATCCATTGAAAGTGTGATTGCCATAGAAATTCTTTTTAAAGAATAATATTTATATCAGTCCATCTGTATCCAAGGCAGTCTATGCAAACAAATACCTTCTCAATCATTGTATATGGAATGCTGCTGAAAAATTATATTAAAGATATATAATATATAAATATAAGATATATAATATATAAATATATAAAAATAAATAAATAAATAATAAATAAAAAACTTTACTCTTAAGCAGTTCCTGGTTTATGGCTATAGTGGTCTTCACTTCAGCGTTTGAATTGTAAGTTTTGCTGAAGGGTGCCCTGAGGACATGTGCACACATCAGTCATTTGTCTGCAGAAGGACATGAGAGTATGGGCATGCTACACAACCTCACTGGAGCCAGAGTGTCCTCCTGGACACCAGCATCTTCTCGGCCAAGGTACCCCCTGAATAAACAGGAGTTTAGTAGGATTCTTCTGGCTTCGTGCTGTTGGCTGCAGCAAGTCATCACAGTCTTGTGTTATAGACAGCACAGAGCTGGTCAGTCAAGTCATGTGGGGGTATGATTCATCTCTTCCTGAAGTAGGCAGCAGCATAATCAGATAGGAGTCAGGTGAACTGCATCCTAAATTCCCCTAAATTCAATAACCAGGTCTCTATTGATTGTGGTAGGAATCTAGACAGCTCATGGAGCTGCAGGCATCTGTGCAGTAGATGGTGAAAGCCAAGTGAAATGAACCCTACCCATCCAGGATATAGCTGAGCATTTCCTCAGTTTGCATCAAAAAGGGAAGTTCAGACTCTGGTTTCAAAGTGATACAGAAACATTTAGTCTCACAGTATCTTAGTATTGCATTCTTTAGCCATTTGCGAAGAGAGTATTCTCTCACTTCACTTATTTATATGGCTTTTTTTTCCTCACCAAGTTCCCATTTCCCACTCCCCTCAGTGGTAGATGGGTAGACCTCATGAAATGAAAAGGTCTACAGGGAAACACACTGCAGAGTTTCAGAGGCAGCTGCTATATATACAGTCACAGGATCTCTCAATGCTTCTGATACTTGCTGATATATGCATAATTCCACATAAATCCATACCTCCTATTTATTTCTTTTCTCCCTCTTCAGATTTTTTTTTTTTTTAATTAATACAATACAAGTATATTTTGGAGTTGGATTTTATTTTGGATTTTGAGAATAATGTGCCTATAATACATTATTGCTAAAATTTTACGAATGATTAGATTCTATCTGTCCTGGAATATACAATAAGCATCTTGAAGTTCTAGTTGCCAAAGAAAACTTTGATATTTTTATGACTTCTTTGTTGAACTTTGCGACAACCCATGAATTAAAAAAATGTCTATCAGATTAACATAACTTCTTTCTACAAGTTTGATGCCACCCTCCCTAAGAAAGTACTGACTCCAGGCCAATACAAAGCACTGAAAAGGTGATTGACAGATGAGAATATGATTGTTTTGGCTCATCCTCTACAACAATGGCAGTCTCTGGTTACAGTTCAGATGTGAGATACCAGGCTGCTTAGTACTCAGCAGTACTTAAACACGTTTGGCTTTGATTCTCCCTATGTAGACTCCATATTGGGTTTTCATACATTCTGTTTTCTTCTGAAACAAGAATTTTGCAGGTCTTGCAGCAGGGATTTAGTTAGATGTGATGAGGTTCAGGCCTGCAGCTGAAGTGGATTGTTTGATCTCAGGTATTATCAAGGGTCCAGCCTTATCCGGATGGGCCAAATCTTGATCCTACCTGAATTTCAGGTTTGTAGTGCTTCCTTTAGCCCTTTCGTGTCCAGTGAACTTCTTCATAAATATATGTTGGATTTGTAAATCTTAAAATTACTTTCTTACTGATTAATCAGACCTCATTGGTTTTGCTCATAAAGGTATTCTTTGCTAATATATATTACAATTTGTATAAGGTGTCATAAAATGTAACTGGAGGTTGAGCAGTTTTTCAAAGAATGAGCTACCTCTTGGCAGCCAAGCTGTTGAAGAGACTGCAAAACCTTTTGCAGTAGTTTAAAATTTTAAAGATGAGGGAGGAAAAGGTTTCTCAGTAGACTCATGTAACACTCCATCTTCTGTGAAGCACAAATTAGTATGGTATGACTTACATTTTATAATTCATAAAATAATAGCTCTGAAATCTGCTGAAGCAAAATTCCTGTGGTTAGGCTGAAAGTATTCTATTGTCTCTGGCTTTCCCCATCTCAGTGAAAGCATAAGAAAGGATAATTTTAAAATGGATTTTGCCATTGTAATGTGATCTCTTCCTCTGCAAACATTGACAAGAAGCACTATAATTGTTGAAACGGGCACCTGTGGAGATCAGTATATCCAGAGGAGTGAAAATACTTTCCATTTTTCTTTCACACTCTTTATATAATAAAGATTAGGTGACAGTCCTTGCCTAAGGCATCTCTTGAGGAAAGAAATATGTGCTGACATTAGATTGGTATAAGAAATCAAGTAATTTGTACTTTTCTCCTTTTAATTGTAAAATCTGGATATCTCTCAGCCGTACACATGATTGTAGTACGGAAATACAAGTGATCATTTCTGTTTAGAAAATAATTAAGAAAAAAATTTAAAATGTTAAAATCTTTTGGTTTTTAAAATATTTTTAAATCATTTTCAAAGGTGACACTTGTTTCAGATATGCTTTGTTGTTTTGTTTTTTGTTTTTTTTTTATGGTATTTAAAATTAATCTAAAGTTTTACTAATCAAATATTGAAAGATGGGGAAGTAATCCGAAATCTCACAATTTCCATGTGAATGAATTAATTCCCCAATAATTTTTATATGCTATAGAGTTGATTTAGTCAGCTGTACTCCGATAAATGCCACTTTCAATTAAACTCCTTGTGAATTATAATACTATTAATGGGAGAAGAGCTCTCTGTCTGTGAGCTTTAGGGTACCTCATTGCGTAGAAAGAAAGGAGGATTTAAAATGTGTGCAGTGAAGAAGGTGACAAAAATTTGCTATAGGAAAAATAAAATATAGTTTTTAGAAAACAACCGAGTTCATTCTAAATTATGCTGTTAGTGCAATTAAACGTGCTATTTTAAGTAACTCTGAAAGGAACTTCTGTGAGTGTTGGGATGAGCAGTGCTGTGTCGTATGTGTTCTCCCATGGGTAGACATTATTTTAATCACTAATTCAGTCTTCATCATTTTCCAGATCAAAGATACAAATGTTCACTTATGATAAACTATCTTAATTTAAAAAATCTCTGTTTCTGATTCATAGAATGTGCATTGTTAGAAAAATTAAAACTAATCACCTTTTTCTATTTCCTTCCTTAAAGAGCATATGGATTAGTACCTACGTGTTTACAATATGCTTTGCTGCTAACGTGGGACTGTTGTATGGTGTTGTCTGCACTATAGTAATTGTGATTTTCCGCTTTCCCAGGTAAGAAATAATGTATTTAAATGTTCTAGTAGCATCTTGTTATGTCTTCTCTCTGGCACGTTGCTTCGCTGTCAGGGTAGACATACAGTACACTCTTTCACAATGAAACTCCAGGTTTTTAGTTGCAGAAACAAGGTAAGACAACTCAAAAGGAAAAGTCACACCTGTGCATTTACTGTTGGCTAAGGATCTCCAAAACATTTCACACAATTTCTTTATATTGTGATTTCTCTTAGTATTACACATCTCCGTGACTCATTAGGTGAAGGTAGCATAAGATTAACAAAAAGATCAATAGTATTTTTTTTCCCTTAGATACTTATTTGTTCCTTAAGGAGAAAGTATGCCTGGCAAGGCTTCCTAACGAAGCCCCTCTGTAAACTGCTAGATAATATGTTGCACAGGAGTTGATAGTTGCCATTGAACTGCAAATATTCTGCAAGATTCTGTGATTCTGTGAAATATATATTAATGAAATGTGACTGCACAACTGTTATAATATCTTGTGAAGAGTTCTTTAGAAATTTTGTGTATGAATTAGAGAAGCCAGGACAAAGAAACTAGAGCTAGTACAGATTTGTATATTCTTTTTTATATATTGCAGTTGCTACTTTGGATCATAAGTAAAGAGAAAATAGCAGTTGATGTTCATGATCATTTTCTGCTACAAAGTTAATCCGTAGCTCACCAGTCCTGCAAATGACTTCCTGCTCGCAGGCAGTTGTTCACACAAACATTGAATCCCACAGAAATTAAGCACAATATAGACAGCTTATTTAATGCTTGTTAAAGTTAATGGTGTTAACCCTTCAGGCATAGCTCTGTTCTCATAGAGTAAGTTGCAGAACCAGCGTGAAAATAACTTCAAATTGCAAGGCAATTACAAATCATGGAAGGTGGTTTATGCTTGAATCAATCAGTACTTTTTCATTAACCTTCTGCTACTCAGCAAACTAAACTTCTGGTAAATTCTGCTAGTAAAGGAGAAGATAAGTTTTCATGTTGTTTGCACCCTGTGCCTGGATGTCTGAGGTTCTGCTGCAGCAGAGAGGGAGAGATACCTGGCACAAAAAGAGTACCATCTTCTGTCCTCTGATCTGACAGAGGCGTGAGTCCAAACCTGCAAAAATTAAAGTAAATAAGACTCTTCCCAGTGATTTCTGTGCTCTTCAGTTCAGGTTGCAGGTGACTGTCCATGCAATCTAAAGGCACCGAAGAAGTCAATGGCCTTAAAAAATGTATGGCACAGGTGAGGTCGGCAAGGGAACAGGCAGTAAGCTATCCAGTCAAGGGCAAAAGTGTCAGGAAAAGTAGGAAAAAGAAAGTAAAAGTACCCTGGACGATTTATTGTGAAGCTTTGGTTCACATGCCACAGTACTGGTCGTGGTACATGTTATGTATCAGAATGTATTAAAACCAGCAACAGCTACAGCTCAATTGATGCAAATGGGGGAGAACAGCTGACTTTTGCAAGCCTCATTTAGCCAGTACCAGCACCTGCAAACACACCCTGCACTTCCATGCATCTATTAAACGTTTGTATTCTGGGATTATTTCCATTGCCTAGCTTTAGGCACAGAGCTCAGATGATAGCTAGTTTCATAGTCTTCTTGTTCTGCAGTTAAATGCATTCCTGCAAGCAATGTGTTGAAGCAGAAGGTCATACACCGAGCTGACTTTTCAAGGAAACTTCTATGTAGAAAGCCTAGGAATACTGGCTTTTCCAGTGAAGTTCCCCACTTTGACAGCTAGAGTGTAACTTTCTGCTTCATCATACAGAGATACATCACATTTAGTGGCAGATAAAACATCTTTAGTTTTTTTAGCTATGACCCATAGCTATTCAATATCTTCTTTCCTTCCCTTCCTTACAATTTTTCAGGTAAAAAATATTAATTAAACCTCTATACTTTTGAAGTTCTAGATTATATATTAGCTACTTTGACTTGAGAACAGCTCTCTGGCCAGCTATAAAAAAGCAATGAAACTTTAAGATTTTTTTTACCAGAAATTTTCATTATTCATATTTGAACAAGAAATAATTATATCGAATTTTCAAAGTAATATACTATAATTTTAAAATGTGCTTTTTACTCTTTTAACTGGATCCTTATCACAAAAATAAGCTTCACATGCACAAAAACATGTATGGATTGCACCATTGCTATTTCTATGCTGTAGTTTTGGGATGTGTCTTTTCCTGTTTCTGTCCAAGATTACTGATGATTTGCCTTATAGATTTTCTCTGTGTATTGATTACAGAGCAAAGACACTGAATTTGAAAAATGTGAAAGAAGTGGAATATAAATACAAACCAGAAGATAATTGTGTAAGTTAAATTAACTTTTTGTGTGTGTGTGTTCCACTAATTCAGATCTGTTTATTTTCTCTAATTGGTTACCAGATTGTAATCAGTGAGTCAAGGGAACATTTTTATGAAATGACCACTTGAAATCTAAAACCAGTATGATGTAGTAAATTCAAAACTAGTCTGGGCATCAGAAATTGGAATATTTTCCTGGTTGTGCTTCTGGTCTGCAAAGTTAGACAAGTCCTCTTAGATCTATCTTTCTTTATTTGTTACTTTTAAATTAGGAATTGCTGTTTGTAGAAGTTTCCTATTACCTAAGCCCAAGGAAATCTCTTGGCAACAAGGGCAAGGGATATGTGAGCAGACAATAGCTGTCTCTATATTCTTAACTGGTTTCCTCATTTCCTGAAAGTCTGTTGGTACTCTCATCATCCACAGCCCCCTTTCTGACCCCACTTCTGCCACCAGCCCCGTCTGATCCGACTGTCACAGAGGACAGACACCATGTGTGGCTGGCAAAGGAGGGACAGCACTATGAAGTTGTCACAGGCTGCTTACCCTGTACTCAAATAACGGTACCCTCACATGAAAAATGGATGGAAGAACCTCTCTGAAAGACTGTGTTTTTAAAATTTGACTTCTTTCAAAGTTAAACCTACCAGTCAGAGATTGTTAATGCTTTTGGTTATTGCAATTATCATGAAAGTTGCTTGTGGTCAGGCCCATGGTAAGAAGAGAAGGGTAATGACCCAGAGAGGTGACCTCCCTCCTCTGAGATGAAATAGTAGGTCAGCAGCCAAGAGACAAGTAGAACCATGTGTCCTTTCAGCACAGAGTCCCGTCACAAGGACATCCTGCCTTCTCACCGTGGCAGTTTCTACTACGTTCTCTTTCCTTTCCTAATGCTTATGAAGGGTCTTATGTATCAGTAAGCAACGTGCTCAGCAATTATTACCTCACTACTAAGAAGCCCTCCTCAAAAGAATTTTTTTTTTTTTCTGGCAAATGTTTTCCATCAGAGCTATTTTGGGCTCAGACTCTGAACTTGGCTCAGGGGGGTTTACTGTTTTGGCATGCTGAACAGTGCTGGAATGTGAAAGGTGCATGAGTATGGGGAGGGCTCTGAAATGTGAATTAATGCTGTTGTTGAGGCTGGCCCAGCTGTAAATTATTATATCACTTCTCATTCTTGAGGAAACGTTGGAGTAACTTTGTCAGGGATGGGAAAGCAAAATTTGTTTTGCCTTTTTTTGTTTTTGTTTTTTTTTTATACCAGTTCATATATTCAAAAATATTTTGTGTAAATCCCTATGTATCTTTTATTTTTTTAAACTAATTGCTCCTCTGCTTTTTTTTCCTTAATCATTAAGATTAATGCCAGTAACCAAGTAATAACAATCTAGTGTCTGCAGACAGTGAGGAAAATAACATTTTGTTAAGGAAGCAAATTGCTCAAGAGCTTATTACACAAAACAAAGAAGGAAAATATTTTTAACATTCAGAAAAATGCCTTTAATTGAATTTCAAGTCACTGGGTTGCAGCAGGCTTTTAGGGTAATTTTTAATGTATGAATGTTAGACTGATCCAAGTTCTCCTGGTAAATAACAGCTTAGACATAAACAACAGGACTTTTAAACATGAAAGTATGCAAGCTTAATGATCTACCCTGCCATTAAGGTCTGTGGATTTATAGAGGTTATTTCATCAATGGGAGAAAAGACCCTTTAATGTGGAAAAATCAAGAGGGTACTTAGAAGCTTACATGAAACACATTGCATTGCAGGCCTTCCCTGAACTGAATTCTTACCCAAGTGTCCAGTACCATGCAGAGTGCACAGGGCAACTGCTGGTGTCCTTCTAAGTGACAGCAGGGACAGGCCACCTGAGATAATTTTCTTTCTTTTTTGGCAAGGACATGACAAAGAGGAAGTCCATTTTTCTTGATACATTTCTTAGGAGCTGAAACCAAACCAGAACCAGGAAAAACTGGGCCAATTTTGGCACAATTGTCCTTGCCCATCCTGGACAAGAGATTTTACCTAAGCCTGCCATCTGCTTCATTTGGCCTTAATGATTTGAGCCCTTCGGATTTTCCACCTTGTATTTTTGGAAGCTTATTAGCTTGTTGATCATCACAGGCTTTGAGCGTTGCACCTCAGTCTTCCTTTTCCTTAGTTCCTTCTGGTATGGCACCAAAGTGCTCACTTGTCTCCACACCAAGCTGAGTATAGCATCATTTTTAAAGGAATTTGTAGGATGTAGGAGTATTTCTTCATTCAAGCATATCTTGCCCTCTGTTTTACCCTTATTTTAGAGTTTTCTTTCATATAATCTTAGCCATTTTAATTGCTAGTTAGGCTTTGCCACTTGACTGACTGAGGTATGTTGGTGATGTGAACTTTGCCACAATCACATTCATAGGTAAATTGCGCAAAGTCCCCATACAAATTGCGCAAAACCCCCTATAGTCTGGGGTTCATTGCCTCAGTTTTGGATGTTTGAAATGTTTCCTTAGTCTGTATGATGGTTGCTGTGGTGGTGTCTTGAGAGATCATCTGGTTCCCAGAAGTCTGGATAGCAGTCTACAAAAAGGAGGTAGTTTGTGTGGTTTGTGGTGAAGATTTCCATTCCTGTTCTGCTTGAAGGTCTGTTGGGAAAACCGTGTGCCTTCAATGCAAACCCACACTTTTCTGAGCTACTTAAAAAATTGTCTGTGTTTGAGTGTGACCTTATTACATGTCTCTGACTTATGTTAAGAAGACTAGAGGCTTTTTGGACCTACATTCTCTTGTGAATTCTTGGTTTTCACTTCCTGTCACCCATTGTCACAAGTAGTTCATTTTTGAGAGCTGATACTCACATAATTATTTCAGTAGTTAATGGATCTTTTTCTGTATCCAGACCCCTTTTTGCACTTAGTGATAGGATAGTTTATTGCATATAGCACTTCTGTGGACTGCAATCCTTTTGGAGAACTTGTTGGAATCAGATCTGTTGATCTGCCCTCATGGTCTGCTGCTGACCTGCTGAGATGTTGTCAGCTGCAGTGGTTGCCTGTTAAAATCAGCAGAATGGTATCTCTCATCCTATTTTCATTCTTCTAAAGTGGGCATATTTTATTTATTTTTGTGAGACTGTTGAAACTGACACTCAGCAATACCGTGTTTTGCATGTGAAAATACCTAGTGGGAATCATTGTTGTGCAATGTTCAGGTGGTGTATTCAAGGATCTTCTTTTCCTCTCACCTGGAAGGAGAACGCTCTGAATTTCCACATGTAACCTAGAGATCCCTAGCTTTCATAAAACACATGCCTGAAAGGCAAATTAATCCTATCACTTTTTTGGCAACTAGTGCTTATGAGCAGTGCTATGTAGAAAATGCTACTGTAACCTTTACTTGCCACACATGATCCTGCTTATTCCTGTTTACGACACAAGATGCATAAAAGCTCAATACAGTTATTTTTTGGAATGTACATAAAGAATTTTATAAATGGATGTAATATCTTTTACCAGGTCAAATAGTGCAACTGGAAAAAGTAGAAGACCCTAATGACCGACAGACTTGTCCTCAAGTCTGAAACAGAAGAAGCAGAAATCAAAGCAGCTGTAGTCCATATTGAATTTGGTCTCTCAGACCCCATTTTCCTAAGAAAAAGAGAGACATAGTTCACAACCTAAGGAAAATGGAGATTTCTGTAGAATTAGCTTACTTCTACCCACCTACAAAACCAGTATTTCAACTGAGCTTGTGATTAATGATATTATGTTTGTATATAGATATTAATTTTCTTATTGGCTTTTAAATGAGAGAAATAGTGCTTGTTTTGTGGGATACATTCCCCGCTGGTACCTGGGGGTTTCTGATCTTTATCTGATGTCCTTCAGAAATAGTTCTGCAATGTAACATCTGTGTTTGGGGTTACACAGTTTCATTGAAGGTAGCCAGTAAACTGGTTGAAACTTACTCAAGTAAGTATAGATACAGGATTGGGGGCCATTGATGGTTTTTATGTGGATTATTTGTTGTGTTGGTTATAAATGGTAGACACATCCTGGCAACATTTTAAATGTGTCACTCAAGCTTGGTCTGGATCCACTATGTGTTTCCCTGGAAGCATATCCCTGTTGTACTAAGGTCATCTTCAGATGGCCAAGATGAACGTTTTCAGTGTTGCCAAAACCTTGTGTACTTTTTCTAGTATGTGTGTTTGTCTAATAACAGATATTCCCTGTCTGCAAACCCTGTCTTGCCTATGTTTGGGGATCATACCAACTGAAACACGACACTAATAGTGTCTAGCAGTGCCAGCTAATAGCTCTCAGTATTATGTGTTGTAATGAATATGATTATTCTTTCACACTAACTCAAAAATTTAGGATAATTTTACTTCAGGTTATTATATTTCCTTTTTTTAATTTCAGTTCTGTGTGAAGACTGATCAAGACAGATATATGTTAAATCATTCTCACAATCCTAAGCTCCTTCTAGCTTGATTTACAGGAATTTGGGGGATTTTTAAAGAAATTCTTTGGTTTTTAGTCTCCAAACCCAAGATAATCTTTTCTGCATTGTTTATTTCATTCCACAGGAATCACTGAAACAGGTAAAGATAATTTCAGTCAACAACCCATTAGTCTTTCTGAATGCCAAGAAATTTCACGCTGACCTGATAAAGATAATCCAGAAGGATAGCACAAGCAGCCAGGCATGTGAAGATGTAAACAAGGTAGGATGTGCTACATGTTTCAGTAATCATGGTGACAGTGTTGAAGATCATGATTGTTTTCCTTGCATTTCTGAGAGAATGCAATCAGATATTGAAACCCATATAAAAAGATAATATTGCAAATGCTTAATTTAGAATAGAATAGAATAGATTTAGAATAGAATAATAGAATATCTTAATCAGATTCAGTATGGATTATTTTCTTATTATTACTTGAAAAGAATATCCCTACTATTTCTGTAAATGATCCTGTACAAGACATTAAAGTACTGATCCAAAATTCTTCAAAATTTCTGGCAGAACTTACATAACCTCAGCTAATATAAGGTTGTGATTTTAAAAAGACAATGAGTAACTACAAATCTACTTGAATAAATTGTGGTGTTTTTTTTTTTTTTTTTTGGAGATGAGTCCATAAGAGATGGACACCTCATTTATATTTCTGACTATATATAATTCCAGAAGAATTAGGAAGAAGGTACAAAATGGCTAAAATTTTTCTCAAAGGCAGTGTTTCTTTTTAATATTCTACACTGATTGTACTGGAAAAGTAAACAGTATGAAAATTATGTATAACTCTGTTTTGGAGAAAATCCCCATAAGTATAGTATTTTTCGACTTTATCTGCTCATAACTACTGCAATTTCCTACAATGGTCCCTAAAAGGGAAAAAAAGCCCCAACAACCCACCCAAATTTGTTATTTTTCTGTCATTGCAATGAAGACAATCCAACACCATACTTGCTTGGTGTAGGCAATTTCATCCAGTTTGGCAAACTGGGCTGAGAGAATCACAACCATTTCTTAGATGGGTTGTTAAGACAATGTTCAGCAATGTGTGTCTACCACCTCTGGTGTCTCTTTCCAAAGAGCTGTGCTACACATACCTACTTTGATGGGTGGCTTCTCCTCATTCTTCAGAAATTCAGCTCAGAAATTGTACTGCTTTTTTCCCCTTGGTTCTGCTAGGCTAACTGATTTGGATTAGTACGATAACAAACCCCCAAACAGTGAGAAATTACTTAGGATTTGCATGGAATTAATTTATGAGTTAATTTAATAAGTGTAATAAGTTAATAAGTTAATTTAATAAGTTAATTTATAAGTTACTTAGGAAGGAGATTTTATCCTTTGGCTCTTCAATAAGGTACTTGGCAGTACAACTGCCTGAAATACTGTGCATAATTTTTTTTTGGAGGAATAAAGGTCTTTCTATAGCCCATAATGGGAGTGAAAAAACTTGTACTTTGGATTTTGTTTCTCTGCTGTATTTCTGGTTTAACTCACATTGAAATAATTATAAAAAAAATTTTCAAGATAAGGTAATTCTTTAATAAATTTACATGTCAAAAATGTTCTCATTAAAATATTAGCATAGCAGATGAGATTACAGCAAGTAGAAAATGAATCAAAAGTTAATCTTATAAAATCAATGGCTAGAATTTGTCTTTTCAAGGTTATCTTTCCCATCTTTTGACCACTTATTTTCCAACTTCTGCTTTCCTAAAAGCGTAGTGTTCATAATATGCTGTCTAGAGGATCCGAACACGACAGAGGTTGAGTCATCAAAAAAGAATAACAAGATAGCAGTTTGGTATAAGTTCAGAAGAATACTGAGAGACATCCTCAGCAAACATTATAGATCCAATAGGCCGCTGCATGCAACATGATTTTGGAGAGATGGAGTTAACTTTGATGCTGAGAAGCAGAATTCTTATGTATTGCATTGATTTTCTCTGGTTACTATGCATTAGACTAGTTTTCTTTGGTATGTTAATAGTTTGCTGCTTTTATTTCAGTGCGAGCAGAACACATTGCTGTGTTCATTTCCTAATGGAAATTGTCATGGTGAGTTTATTATCTATAAATGATATTAAAACCAAGATGGATGTAAGTATGCAAAATGGTTCCACGCTTTTCTATTTATTTCTAGGCGAACTCAAATTGTCTGGAAACTAATGTTTCCAGTTAGACCACGCATTCAGCAAAGCATGAGTGCTAAACACTGTTAAACTCTGTTAACCTTGGCCTAACAGGTCTTACTTATTTTGTTCTTGACTGATGTTTTAAGAATGAAAATGACTTTTCTGTAGGCGTCCCTGCTTATTTCTTGTGAACCCCTTAGAGATTGCTTAGAGATATGGTTTAGTGATAGAGATATGGTGCTTAGAGATATGGTTTAGTGATGGTTTTTGTCAGTGTTCGGCTGATGGTTGGACTCGATGATCTCAAAGGTCCCTTCCAACCCAGGGAATTCCATAATTCCATAATTCCCCTGTGTGCTTACCCCCCATCGGGGGAACCGCTTCTGGATTCGCTGCCTGGATTGTCTTCAGACAGAGGCCTAAAAGGCTGTTTTGCTAAGCTCTGGTCTTGGTTGTTGTTTTTTTTATTGACAGCAGAACTTGAATATTAGCATGGAAAAGTAAAAATAGCATAAGATCAGAGCCATGTTAAACCTTTGGGCTTCTTAAAGCCACTTAGGAGAAAATCTCACAAAGCATCAACTGACTTATCAGTGACACAATGGCCACCAATATTGTGCAATATATCAATACCTGATAGAATAAAGAAAAAAACCTAAGGGTTTGCTTTCAATTAAGGATTAAGCTGGATAATTCCACTCGGCCCACATTTTATAACACTTAAATCAAACCAGAGCACATACGTTCCCATGGGACAGCTGCAGCAACCTTTTGCAGAAGATACTTTATACAGATGACTTCATTGTGGGTGGAATTAAAATACTGTGTTTATTTAAAACACTTATAAGCATTAAGGCCACAGTAGAGAGTCTGATTTGGGGGCTGTTTTCTGAATGTTTACATTTATTAACTAGCCTCATGACGTTTTTATAATACTACGGTGTTTAGTTTATTTGGGGGTGGCAGAGTGCTCTGCTGTAACGCACAATGATAATGGCTACCAAAGACTATCCAGGGCTACACTGTAAAATACTAAGAGAGTGTAAAGCACTTTAAATGTGAGGAGACTTTTTGGAAGGTCTTGGCAGTGCATATTTCAGCCTTCTTTTGGATAACCAGGTTTCTGGAGTTAGAGAAGTGACAGACAGCAGAAGACCTCCTTTCTGTTGCTTAAGTCCTGCCTTGAGGACTTAAACGCTCTGTCATTCCTTGAACCAACCCATCTATGGTTAGTCTTCATGGGAGCTTTACAATAGAAAGTCACTATAAAATGGAAAGCAAAGTATGGGGCTTAATTTTTTAGGAAGGAGGAGAGCAGGAAAACATAAACCTTAATCCTTACAGCAGTTGTCTTGGAGGGTGCAGCAATGTACATCTTTGTCAAAATCTTTCCTTTCTCCGTCTGGGGAATACCAATTTGCCATTTGTCTGTATCAACACCAAATTAAACAGCTGCTGTTGCCCTTGTCGGTTGGTTCAGAGGGACAGCAAGTCTGCTCCCATCATTCAGAAGGCAGGCAGCCTCTCCAGCAGTGCAGGATGCCAGCTGGGTGGGAAGGTAGCACAAGTAAGAAATTGGGAGAAAGACTAAGTTCTTTCGTTTCAGAGGCAGAGGAGGTGCGTAGAAAAGATCACAGTGAGCAGCCTAGCAGATCTCATAAATCCTTTCTTGGTTTCCATCACAGTAATATCAGGCAGCAGGTTTCCTTTTAAATTCTGTGGTTTTGTTTGGTATTTATCTATTAATGTACATTGGACAGTACAAAGGCAGTAAATCTGTGGAGGTGCAAGTCCAAAAGGCTCTGGCTCTCAGGCTACTGTCAGAAAGGAATTAGCACCATGATAAATCTACACCATGGGAAAATTCTAAGTCCCCTCAAGAGTTTAAAATCTTTTCCTCTGCTCTGTCAAAACCATTTAGCTTAACCCATCTTTACATTCAGAATTCCTTATTTTATCTTCTTTTTTTTTAGAGTTTTGGGCATTATGATAACTAACATTTTTTCACAGAGCAATGTAAATAAGATGCGCATTATTTTTTGGTTTTCCCTTTATGAAAGCCAGAAATCGTTTATCTATGTGTTAGTTCAGGAAGCATTTATTATGGAGTCTGCTTAGTTTAAGCATGAGATACCCTGAAGTTGAAAAATGAGTGTAAGACCTTTTTTTCTCCAGCACCAATAGATGATACTATATAAAAAATCAACCAAACAAAAACTTGTACAGTAAAATCTTTAACATAAATTCAAATCTGAAGAAGCAGTTTGTTTAATTCTTGAGAGACTGTTCCTGTTGAAAACATCTAACGAGTAATATGTTCTGCCAGTCAACACTTCATCCCATTGCTCTGAACGTCCTTCATTTGTGCTTCTAAAATGTGCCATTTGCTTGACTGATACCCCAGTACATAACAGTAAAATTTTAATTGTGATAGTTTGGGCTTATTTTGTTAAACTGTCCTTATTCTTATATGCATTTCTTGACTATTCTCCCTTATAATTAAAGTTTTTGATTTATCAAATGTGCAGGGGAGTCGTTGCAGCCATGTCACAGTGAGCGGCGTGTTCTGATATTAGACTGCAGTGGGCTGAATTTCTTTGACTACACCGGAGTCTCAGTGCTGCTTCAGGTACTCGTGACATCAGACATATTCTTTACATTGAAATATAATTACATATACAAGTTATTGGAGCCAGTTACTAGTCACCTCACCTATATCACTGGATAACCATGTCACTTGTGGAAAAGAGGAACACAGATTTGGCATTAAACTGCATATAAAATTATATAAAAAATAATTCTAAAGATTTTAGGTGGCATTCAGTGCAAATGTAAGTATTGGTATGTAATGGAGATAAGTTTCTGAACTATTTTTTTTTAAATTTATTTTATTTTAAAGCTGGTTTAGGTCATATTTGACCCTGTCATGTCAGTTACAACAGGTGGAGCGCAGGCATGTGTGGATTTGCCCCTTTACAATTTCAGCTTTTAATTCTGTGATTTTATCCGCATGTCCAGCTTTCTGCTAAGCCAGAGGTCTTAATGATCTCTATGATTCCTCCTGTGGGTTACATACCCAACAGGCTGGGTTCCTCAGGCATTGCAGAAGCTCCCAGAAGACTAAAACCAGTTACCGCATAACGAACAGTTCTATATAGTGGGTGAAAAATTATGTTCAAATGCGATTTCTTACATTTCCATTGGGTTTGGCATTTAATAGTTGTGTAGCGGGTACAGATTTAAGTGGGTACACAAGGCTTGGTTGATATAATTTTTCTGAGTAAGATAAAGACTGGATTTAAGCTTGGGTCTCAGCCCAGGCCTTTTCCTACCCTAACCATTTTCTCAATGTACTGCAGTGATTAAGTGGTGAAGTAAGTTCTGCCTTAAAAATGTTATATCAAAGCTACATATATAGGTGGGGATGTTGTCAAAAAGAAAATTGGGAAAATAAGGTTAGTGGGAGTTCATCTTTATTACATCTCCCTCAAAATATAGGGCGTTCAGTAAAGCATTAATTAAAAACAGTAATTGTGAAACTGTTTTCCAAAATATCTCAGAGACCTCAGAACTACGAATTATATCCAAAAAGTGTCTGACATGTTTGTGAGAGGTTTGTCCGTTGTGGGCTGCAAAGTGCACGGGTTGGGAGCACAGCCCCTGAGCAAATGGCTGGTCCAAAACTGAGTTACTCAGAACAAGAACACACTCAGTGTTGTTACACTCCTTCCTGAAATGTCATCACTGCTGCTAGAGTTGGAGGAGCTTTTAGACTGAGTAAACCTTTAAAATACAGGGTATTCTGATGTAGTTGTCATTGACTCTCTTCTCTCAGAATTGTTCCACTTTACATGGATTATTTAAACATTTCTTGAAGCAGGGACTGCTTTGGAAGTTCCTCATCTTCCAGAAAAAGAAGCCTTGATCTTTACTTTCTAGCTTATTGACTATTTAGTCTCTGTGAAGTTGAACGTTTTCAAAGACAGAATAAAGAACAACTTACTGCGGAATGGAGCATGATGGTTATGGTGATTTTCTGATAGACTGCTGGAAATCTCAAAGTTTCCTAGGTCCGACTCATCCCTTTATGGGCTGGTAGATAAGTATATGGTGAGGAAATGGGGAAACTTGTTGAAAAATGAGGAGTGGGAAAAAAAAAGCCTAAAAATATAGTAAGAAATGCAAAATTTTTAGTCAGATTCGGATTTAATCATCAGGAACTTTGAGGAGGGGGGAGGAAATGGGTCTGGGTTTAGGGTGTTTGCATTATAGAAGGGCTCGCTCTGGTGGCTGCTGGCAGTATAGCTCCAACAGCAGCACTCCATGCTCCCTGCTTGCTTTGAAGATGTTATTTTTGCTTATTTTATCCTCGGTTGGTTTTTTAGACAGTTTTTTTTTATGAATTTCATGTTTTCACACTTATAGATTTACATGGACTGTAAAAACAGGCACATCGATGTGTTGCTAGCACACTGCAAAGGCAAGTACCAGCTTACAGCAAAGTTTTTAACGTGACGATTTATATATCCTCACTGCCTTATCAGTGCTCGTGTGTTTGTTTTCTTGCAGCTTCCTTGGTAAAAGCAATGCAGTACGGTGGAAATCTTGAATCTGAAAATCCCGTCTTCTTTGAATCTATTTCTTCAGCAATTGATGCCATTCGAATTCACAGGGTGAGACGGACAGCAGGGGTAGGGTGGGGTCTGGAGGGCTTCTTGGATGCTGACAACCATTTGTTAAAGTCGGGGGAAATCTTAGTTACTCATGGAACCTTTTGGGCAGAAAGCTTTTATCTGCCTATTCTCTACATCCAGTCCTCAGCCTCTGGACTGCAGTTATCAAGTTTTTCCTGCTGGCTCGCTCTTCCCATCACTGTGTCCAGTTTTGGGCTCCCTACCATAAAAAAAGACATCGAGGTGCTGGAGCGGGTCCAGAGAAGGGCAACAAAGATGGTGAGGGGTCTGGAGCACAAGTCTTATGAGGAGAGGCTGAGGGAGCTGGGGTTATTCAGTCTGGAGAAGAGGAGGCTGAGGGGAGACCTTATTGCTCTCTCCAACTCCCTGAAAGGAGGGTGTAGAGAGATGGGGGTCGGTCTCTTTTCTCAAGTCACAGGCGACAGGACAAGAGGAAATGGCCTCAAGTTGCACCAGGGGAGGTTCAGGCTGGATATTAGGAAAAATTTTTTCACTGAAAGGGTTATCAGGCATTGGAATGGGCTGCCCAGGGAGGTGGTGGAGGCCCCATCCCTGGAGGTGTTCAAAAGAGGGGTTGATGTGGTGCTGGGAGGTATGGTTTAGTGATGATGCTCCTTGTTTGTTGTGTGGGTGTCTATTTTTGTCAGTTAGGTTGACAGTTGGACAAGATAATCTTTAAGGTCCCTTCCAACCTAGAAGATTCTGTGATTCTGTGATCACCTTCTTCTCTTTAGCAACTACTTCTTGGTCTTCTACGCGAGATCCAGAAGCAATGTGTTGTGGTGCATTAATCTGGGTGTATTCTCCGCTGGGCAGGTTAATATCATCTAGAAACACCTCAGGTAGCTTCTAGGTGAGGCAAATTTACTCACACCCAGTTCTGCATTACTGAACCTACAATCCATTCCTCCACCTGGGATGTTCAAAGCTGCTTCACGCAGCACTGTACTGTTCCGACCAAAACACTTGTGGATCCTGAGCATATTTTTTTCTAGCTAATAAGCTTGTCTCTACCCTGCACTGTAGTGTGCTGAGTTGACTCACCAGCGGAAAGAGGGAAGAGGAATTGCACGAGGTGGAAGAGAGATCTAGAGGGAGAAGGAAGGCTTGGCTCAGAAATTGAGGCTTGAACATTCATTTGATTGAACATGTGTTTTCTTGCTCAATAATAATCCTTGCTTTCCTTCTTAAAAGGCTGTAAACCCGGGCCTTCCTCATAAACCATGTGAGCCTTTTCCATTGCAATCCCAGCATAACTGAGCATGCATTACAAGTAGTGTGCTTTCCCATGGTTTTATTTATGATTCCAAACATGCCTAGAGCTTGGCTCAGAGCCTTCTCCAAGAGACATTAAACTCATCATGGTCTGTGGTTTTGGTTGGTTTTTTTTTTCTCCACTTTATATTTTGCTAATTAAATTACAGTTGCCTATGGACAAAATCACTTTCCACTGATTTATCCAGATAAGGTGAGTTGGCACAGTTGGTCTAGTGGATTGACCAGAAAAACATGTTGTCTTCAGCGCTTGTCAACAGTTTTCATTTTGTTGCCCTGAAAAAATAAAATAAAATAAAATTTACTAAATGATAACTAGAGGGCAAAAATAATGGGGATGACTATTGTATACTTTGTCTGGGTCTGATTAGATGAATTAGGATGGATTGTTGTGTTATAAAATGTCTGCATTCTTTATAGGCATTAATTAACCTTCCTAACATTCTTGTAAGATAGTTATGTACTAGCATTCCCATTTTATGGAAATGGGACATGGGAAAACTAGGACAAATGTTCAAAGTGAGAAGGGGGAGTTAAAGGTCAGAAGCCCACTTTTCTGGGAACTGACCCCATGTTTCTACCAGAGCTGCTAAGCAAATCAAAACTCTGAATAGTGGCTTAGCAGATTAATCCAAAAGGCTTGCACACAGCCTCAAATTTTAAATGTAGTTATGTACGGTGTATAAATGCTGCTGATACCACGTCAGAGTATTCAAAGTATGTGACTTGGGGGTTTTTATGTGTTCCTTGCGTTTAACACCTGGAGATAAGAGAAGATGGACAGGAGCATGAGAGCAACAACACCGCACCGTAACGAACGCTGTCAATATACTCTTCCTGTGCCTTTTTAAGATGCTGAGGACAGCAGGAATTTTGTGTGTTTACGTGAAGTAAAAATGGTGGGATAGGATGGGATGGGATGGAACAGGATAGGAAGGAGCTGGAGGTTTATGGAAAGTGATTAATTCCACTTTACATTTCAGCTTCTGCCCACAGCAGGAAATAGTCTTTCACTGGCAGAAAGGTAGAGTAACAAGGGCTTCATGGTTTCTTTTCATCTCTGCTGTTGTTTGGAAATGCAAAGATGATCTTATCCACATCCTCCAAGGATAATATCTTGTAATTCTAATTTTCATGTTGATAAGTTGGTAAGAGACTCATCTGTTGCTTTATGTGGTTCATCCTCATCATAAATAACTTTCTGATTTATAGTCTTTACAACGGTGTCATTTGCAAACTAGCACTGCTTCATCTGCTAATTTTAAGTGGCATTCTAGGAAAACATTATAATACATTTTTTTCTGTTTCTCCCAATTTAGAATTACAACAAGTTCAGTGAGCAGAGTGAAGTGTGATGTCGACCCATTGAATATGACGAGTTTGATCTGCTCATGTTCAGAATGAACTACACCACAGTTTCTCCTTAGCTTTTTTCTCCAGAGGATCTCATAGATGATCTTTTATATGCCAGATATATATTTATAACATTCAATAATGACAGATCTGCCACTCAGCACAAAAATCTTTCAGCTGCGATCACTCAAAGAATGTTCATGCAATTGTTCTAAAGTGGTTCTATATAATATTTTTATATACATTTAGGTACAAATTATTAGGAAGCAGACATGAGGTACTGACTGTGTTTACCATTCTTTGGTAACTGTGTTTACTATTCTTTTAGATATCTTCTCTTGTAACATTAGTTGTAATACACATCTGTAGTTTTGTGCATGGAATAGTGAGACATTATGGATTCTTAAAAACAGTGTGTTATAATTGATACAGTATATTCTGCAAGCCGTATACCAGTGCATACTGCTTTTAATGGCTTTACTTATCTTTTTTTTCTGTTCAAGATAGTCATTTGCAATAACAGCATCATATCAGAGCTATCATATTCTTCCATCTTTCATACTTTGTTTTGTATGCTTTTTAATGCCTGCCAAGGTCAGTGAGAGCACCGTATATTCAGAGAAGGCAGATGTACGTTGGCTAAGTGCACTGGGTTGTCTCTCCCTCTAGGAGTTGTCATGAGTTACTGTTATGGTTTGCTACATTTTCCAATCCACAGGTACCCTTTAAGCTCAGACCGAAGAGGAACAACAATATGGTAATATTTTTCCAAAGCTTGTTCTTGTTTCCACTATAGTGGAGTCTGCATTTCCAGTTTGAGCTGTGATTGATTTGGTGTTGAAATCTTCCTCTGTGGCAGCTGGGTGATGACAGTGGAGAGCCACATTTGAGCCCCAATTCGGGTGTGCAGTACCGTGTGCGAGCACACAATGGGGCAGAGGAATTGATGGGTTGAGTATTTGACTTGGAATTAGATATTGCCATCAATCGTGTCAGATTATGCTGTCATATCAGTACCAAATTATGTGGCAACACGTATTGACTTTTTTCGTCTACCTTTGTGGCCGTATGTGAACGCTACCAGCAACAGGTAAGAGTTGAACAAAGACCAATCAAAACATTAGAAAGCACAAGGAGTAGGATTTTTCCTTACTGACTTAAATCAACTATAGAAGCTAAAAGGTAGATGAATATGGCACAGCCGTAACGGCCATTTGAGCAGTAGAGAGAGAAGTATAAGGCTGCCTTGTGCAGCTGGAGCGTACAGGCAAAATCTAATGCCAAGCATCCTGCTTTCAGCAGCAGTTACATATGTATGTTTGCCTGGACTCTCCTTGTCTCTCTGCCCAAAGCAGCTGCCTGGAGCAGATGAGATGGCTCATGGAGTGATTTTTATGTCTCTGCATACTTGTGTTAAGACGTTGATAGGCTTTTCTTCTGGTCTTGGTCATTTCACACTACTAGAAACAACGGGAGAGAGTCATGGGGGATTTTTACCCTTTCAGCTATGGGTGACACCTGGAGTTATTCCCCACTTTGTCCTACAGATGACCAGAAGTGTCCTGTACATGTTCTGCTGAGACTGCTTTCGTAAATGCTTTGTAAAAGGTTGATTAGTAACTGTGAGAAGCTTGTCATACAAGGGAGAAATAAGTTCTGTACATTGTCCCAAACGCATTCATTTCAGACAGTGTAGTTGACTGCAGATTACTCATTCCATCCTCGGACTCAGTAACAGGCTATAGCATTTGATTAATAAATTCTTCAAACAGTTTTAGTAATTTATTAACACTTTAGAAACTATTTACATTGTACTTAAATTGTGGAAGCATCAATTTTATGTCACAGCTGGATGGAGATCTCTAGTTAACTGCAAACTGAATAAATGGTATCTTTTCTACTAAGTTCAGTATTTATTCTTCAGCGGCTGAATGTTTTTTCTGAACGTTTGCAGATAAGATGATTAATGAAATTGTTAAAAATAGGGTCTTCAGCAAAGATAGCATCTACCAGGAGACTTTCAGTTTTGTTCTGAATGATCTTGTAAATGGAGCAGCACAGATGCTTTTTAGATTCTTTGTGATGTTAGCCCTTGATGAAATCCTCTGCATCGAATTACCAATTTTGTAGTGCTAATCAAAATGGCTTCCACTTTCCATTGCTTTCAATAAGAATAACTTTTCCACAGATAAATGGCTGTTTTGAGATGGACATTTATGTACCATTATCTCAAAGACCTTCAGTGCCATTTAAAAAAGTGTCAATTTAAAAATTCAAAATGTCTTAATGCTTTGATTACTGCTTGATTGTCTCTCAGGGCAGAATCATGGACGAAATACTTTTCTTCCCTTAAAACATTTAATCATAAATCTAAATTTCCTAACCTGCCAACACTTGGCTTTGGGATACTTGTAATATACCTGTAATGTATTTTACCTTATATTATTAGGCTAAATTTCTTTCTATTTTGGAGAATATACACTGTTCATTACCATTGGCCTAGGAGGGCACATTACTTCACTGCTGATGCAGTTGTTTTTCTCCACCACCACTTCTCTGAGCTATTGACATTTACTAAAACTGGTGATTGCTTGTTGCCTGTCTTCAAGTGACCGGAATGACATGCCATCAGGTCTTGTGTCCTAGTGACTGACTGCCAGGAGATCACTGGTCACTCTGCTGGTGGGCTGGCCATTGCTTAGGGTCTTGCCTGAGTTGCTCTCTGCAAATCACTTGTGGTGGTGTGTTAGCTTCAGCTGCGGAGTCAACTGATGTACAGCTGCTCAATTCTCTGTTGAAAACATAAGGAAAGACCCTAAACCTTCTAGATTAAGTTTTGGAGTTTGCTATAAATTTCAACTCTTTGCTCAATGGTTCTTCGTATAGACTGTCCCCTGGCATCCCTCTGGCTCTGAGGAAGAATTACTATGAAAATATATAGGAACTTAATCCAAACCATCCCAACTAGCCTCACCAGAATAGAATAGAATAGAATAGTTCAAAGGGACCTATAATGATCATCTAGCCCAACTACCATTATTATAAAATAATAGAACAGAATAGAATAAACCATATTTATTCTTCCGAAGGGCAAAGTGAGCCAAACTCACCCTGTAGCAAAGAGGCTGCACAAAGTCTGTGCCTCCTCACAGCAGTGCAAGCCCTGGTCTCACGGGCCATGCGGAGGTGAATTGCAGCCAGCAAGATTAAGGGTTTGAGTTATTGTGCCCTCCTGGGGCAGCCATTCATCTTCGTGCCTTCCAGCTTTATTTACCTGAACATCCCTAGGGATTTTTCAGAGCAACGTGAACTTTTATTAATTAACTGGGCTTGCAGCGATAAGCTTGTGCAGTGTTAGCAATGGGGGCAGAGTCCTGTGAAGTGCTGAGTTCCCTCCCTCCCTATCCATGTCTAAAGGTGTGAGAGAGACACCACACACCAGCTGAGGCTCAAGGAAGTGTCACATTTACTACTTTCAACCTGTGAAACCAACTAAGAGTTTACTACTGTTAGTCAGCAATTCTGAAAATCTAACCATCCACTTTGATTCCTATATGGATGCTCAGATGCTCAGATTTTACATTCCTGAATTCCAAATGCATGAAACATAGAATCCTAGAATCCTAGAATAGTTAGAGTTGGAAGGGAACTTATAGACCATCAAGTTCCAACCCCCCTGCCCTGGGCAGGGACACCTCCCACCAGACCAGGTTGCTCCAAGCCCCATCCAGCCTGGCCTTGAACCCCTCCAGGGATGGGGCAGCCACAGCTTCTCTGGGCAACCTGGGCCAGTGTCTCACCACCCTCATAGGGAAGAATTTCTTTCTGGTATCTAATCTAAATCTCCCCTCTTCCAATTTACCTTATGAAAATCAATGCTTCAACTTTGCACATTTCGGTGTTCTCTGCACTTATATAGGAAAATACCCCTACAAGATTGTTTTCAAGAGTTGGCCCTGTATTTTTCAGAGATGTTGTATTTGCTTGATGTGTTTGGGAATTTTTAGCCATTTTTAGGAATTAATACAAAATGTTAGATAGTACATTATATGAATGAAGAATTTTCCACAAAATTTAAGACGTGCTAATCATAGTATGTTAAAATGGGGATCTGATCATATGCTTCTTACAGAATTTGTGTTTCACACATTCCAAAACAAAGCGAGCAATAAGGAAAAAAAAATAGAGTGCAAACTGATGTTAAGAAATTAATATAGTGACAATTATAAATTAGGCATAAAATATGTAATAAGCAAAAGGCTGTTAACATTACATTTATGCAAATTAAATGTTCCTAATTCTCATCATATGTCTTTCATTTTAAAGGTTATTTGCCCTGATTCTATGATTCAAGTGTCACAAGGTCTGAGTTTAGCTGTTTTGACATAATTTATTTGACAGCTGTGTGTGTCATAAATATATAATGTAACAAGGAAAGGTATCTTCACTGTTGAATGAAAACATTAATGCGTCAATACTGTGTATGAATACTGTTTGACATTTACTAGTTACAAAAATAAAATATACAGTATGCCTTGAAAATATGGCACTCCTATCTTTGGAAGATACTTTCTTTGTCTACAGAAAGTAGTGGCTCATAAATAAATGAACAAGTTGATGCTAAATGGTGCTTTCATCATTAAGATGGATTTTTAGTAAAGATCACATAATCTGTATTTTTCCATATGTTTTACAATGCATTTAATTATTTTTTTCTTGTTTCAATCCTGTGTATTAGCATATGCAACAATAAATTTATACAGAAATAAATGGGAATCTGAGATAAATTACACATGGAAGGAAGAAAATGCTCTCATTATTTCAATACTTAGCAGATTATTTTTTTTTACATTCTGTACTAACCAGTCTGTAATGACATATGTTGCCTTCTCCAACCTCAAAATGTATTAATCTTACTTAAATCTTAATAATGAAAGAGGACAAATTGCATTACATTCAGAAGTTTGGTTTCCTCATGGTTCTTAGGGGAGTATGGCACTGAACAGAAGTTTTTACCTCGGTAAGAGATATAGAAATCTTGGGCCAATTTTTCCGATACTACCTCTATGCATGCACAGTTGTTTGAATATGTCTTTTTAAATTGTCATTTGCACCTACAGATGGTGCACCTCATAGCCAATTTGTGCCTACTGATGGTATTGCTTATGTATAGTCTGTGGCTTACCCCAGTAGAGGGGAAATTATAAGTAAACCCAACCACCCACCCCCCAATAACTGAAGGCATTAATGGAAAATAGATTGACATCCTTTTAAAAATTTGGCCTTGAAAGTAGCAGCTTAATTTTTCAAGCCTGGCAGTTTATGAAAGCATTTGCCTCTTCCAAAATTAATGCACCCTCTACATTTTTGATTTTACAGTGATTTGCAGAAGTATAAACAATTTGCAGTGCCATAAACTCCTAGTTGCTATACAGCCTAACATTCTTTTTTTTCTAGAGGCTATGCTTCTCGATTACACTCACAGAATGGCAGGGAAACTACTTTGGAGTGAGATGGCTGAGTAGCCTCATTCCTTTTGTTACTGGATCTGGAGCACAGAAGTCCAAGATCAGCTCTCACCAGGGACTTGAAAGGTAACTCAGGGAGCAACTCCTTTCCTAAGGGTAGCCCTCTGGCTCCACGGCATTTCAGGAGGGCATGACAAGCAAAACCAGAGAAATGGCTGTTTGGTTATTTTTTTTTTTTTTTTCTAACGTGTTTTTCAGTAATAAAGAGCCCTTTTGTACTGGATATATTCAGGTGATCAAGGATTGAGGAAAACTGAGAGAGTGGCTCATAGCGATGCACAGGTTGTCATAAAAGTCCATGCTGTTGCTTTGACTGACGTGATGGTAAATACTTTTTGTGCCCATTGTGCTTTGACTGTGATGCTGTCAGAGTTTAAAAATGCAGCCAAATCTTAACAATTCTTTAAAACTCCACAATGATGAATTAAGCTGCACCCTGTACATTCATTTAAACCCCACAAAGTATGTCCAACTTATTGGATACCCTGCCTTATATTCCATTTGAGAGACAAAACTATTTGATCCCTTAATTGTTACTTACAATTAATCATGATAAGTTTTTGTTGAAGGTACTTTTTGAACATTTTTTACTTTGTTGAGTAAATCACAGAATTTATATAAACAAAACCATCAGCAAATTGGAAACTTAGGCTGTCATCTATAGACCCAGGTAGTACAGTTAAAAAGGCTTGAAGCTCATCAGTTCAGGAAATGAGGTCTCTATTAGTCCCCAGGCAAAGTGCTGGAATGTCAGAGTGACAGATAACATCCCTTGGATTGCTTCAGATTTGTACCCCTTGCAGCTTCTGGGGTGATTGAACCATTAAACTGATAGAAAAGGTATACAATTTTAGAAACAGAGGACTGAAAAGGACCTGTTCCATCACGGAGTTGCATTTTCTTTGTGGTCTGGTAATCATGCTTCATAATCTCCAAGAATGATCTTAAAACTCATGATCACTTAGGACATGACTTGCTATTTCAAACTTTTGAAGGCTGAACAGGCTACAGTAATTATAGCAACAATTCATTGCGGTAGTCTGTGGCTGGAGAGAGTTTTCAGAAATGAAAATTAATATTACTCAAGGAACTGTTGTGCATCTCCACCCTAAAGTACTTCACACATCTCCACTCCCAATTACCTGCCCTATTCCTGACTGAATTTCATACACATATCTTCTCACACAACTTCTTCAATCTGTAAACTGCAGGGACAGACTGTAAATCCGCCGATAAGATGGAGGAACAAGACCTCTGTCTTTTGTTCTCCAGAACAGAAGAAGGAAGGAGCAGATGATATTTGCTAATTCAGTCCTGAGAATGAAGTAATTGGTAGATCAAATCCATCCTGCATGGTTTCTCTAACAAAGGAAGAAGTGCAGAGTCTTGTTAGTCCTGTCATTATGAGGAGAACTGTCTATTTTCATACATCATGCACCAGACACTGAACACCACGCCTGCCTTAGGATCCATCTCATTTGTGGTCATTAGAGTATTTTACTGCAACGTCTAAAGCTGATTTTCTGCTCTGCCTCTGTGGACCTGCTGTGTTTACATCTCTATCAGTAAAGTCCTTCTGAAATATGTTTTAAAATAGCATCATGGCATTTCCTATACGAGAAGGTTTAGTAGTCACAGTACTGGAATTGTTAGGTGCTCCTCCAGTGTAGTTAGTTTATACCCTAGTATAAACTAATAATTTCAAACATTCAGTTTCAGACGCATTTTTCTTCCTTTTCCTCTTTGCTCTCTCTGTGACTGTTTTTAAATCTCTGGAACTTATTCCTTTCTGTTTTAGCTTGGTTCCTATAGCCAAATTCTTAATTCAGAGTACCTCCATAAAGGAAGACATGTTTTGAAAGAATGAGAGCAATCCTAGCTGATAAGGAAAAAAAGTGCACTTTTTTTGGTCTTGGCGTGTTTCCAGATTTTGAAGCAGGTTTTGGAATATTACATTTGCAATCTGCAATTTGTGATCATTGCCATTTTATTTTCAGGAGTAAAATTGTGCTTAGATCTGCCAATCATAGCTCAGGCTCAGTGCTGGCCTGGCTCTGCTGTTGCCCTCATTTCACATGTCCCCTCTGTGTCTCTTCTCTTCAGTTCCCCATGAAACAGAGACGGTGACCTGTAGGGGACCAGTGATGCTCTGCAGACCAGGGGATTGCTTGCTTCACTTCTTCATCCTTTCTGTCTCTCCTGTCAGGAGACAGTCTGCTCTACAGACTGCATAGCACAAGTTCTGGTTTGACCAAACTGCACCTGAGGGTGCAGATGTGGAGCTGGAGACCAGGGCTAAGATGTTGGTGGGGTGTGAGGCTGTGGTGGAGCAGGAGGAAGGCACTGGGGTGTGGGAAGAGAGGACAGAAGAAATCTCAAGGGAATGAGACTGTGTGATCTTGTGCCTGGTTGAAAAAGCTGAAGAGCACACAGTGCAGCTGGGATGTCAGGCTGCGTGGGGATGCTGGAGACAGGAGAGACAGACCATAAAAATTTGAACCAATTGCTATTGGCAGGCCTTGGTCAGCATGTAAGGTCATTTTCTTCGGAAGCGCAGTTTGCCTCACACAAGGATGGTTTCCCTACACTGCCCTTGATCCTGCTAATGTGGTTTTAACAGCATTTCAATTACTTCATATCAATAAAAGAAGAGGGTTGGCTATTTTTTCTGGAGTAAGGCTTCTTTTTCAGACAAAACGCAGCATTTATAGGTGTTTCATCCATATAAGTAGAAAGTACACGTATAAGCAAACTCACATCTGCCTCTTTTCAGCCTCACAGACTGCACCTTTTCAGAGAGACAGGTGGTCCATAAGGATGAACAGGTGTATCCTGAGCGTTACCACCTTCATGTTATGGACAGTCACTGCAAACACTGCACTCAAAGCACTTCAATCATTTCTCCATCAATGTCACCGCTCAGATACTTCATCAGGAACCAGCAGGGGTGGTGGCAGCTCTGTTCATGGCATGCATCCAAGGAAATTTAGGATAGGACTAGAAGCATGTTAACCAAAAGGGAGAATGGTAAAGGGGAAGTACTTTCAGTCAAAAGATTAACTTGAGGCTAGGATAGTAGTTTTAGAATAACCAGTCAGTTAGGACTAGTCAACAGTTGGCCATAAACAATGTTGATGGAGTGATGGAGTTTCACAGGGACATGACACCCTGTTCCTTGGTGTGTGTCCTTACTCTGCCCATGCAG